ATGACCTATAAAAAGTCCTTAAAGCTAAATTTGCCAATTTGATGCGTCATTTAATTCACATGACTGCATACTGGTGCCCTTGTTTTATAAGGGAACACATGCTTCTGTTTACATTCACTGTGACAGAAGAATAGGAAAAGAATGAGAAAAAAAGTCTCAGAAGCCATTAGTTTTGAACCCAAAGTGCTCAGTTTACTGCTGGTCTGCATTAAAAATAACTTTGCTGTAGACCAAGGCACTTCTTAATTAAAAAAATGCCACACCTGTCAAGATAATTTATGTTTTCTAACAAACCAACCTGCTGATCAAACTTTCTGAGTCATCATGCACAATTTTACACCAACCTCTGAGAGGTAAGTTGGTACAGTACAGTCGGTACAAAAAGCTCATGAATAACTTTAAAATATCGAAGCCTGTTTGTTTTTAAGATGTGGAATTTAAAGACATATTTTTGAAAGACTGTTCTTTGTTTTGCTTTTCTTTTTTACTTCTCGGTACGGACATCATTATAAACCAGATCTTAATAGAATATTTTCCTGGTAAAAGAAAAGTTGAAAAAATGTTTATTGACCGTTACCAATAAAATTAGACAATTATATCACATTTCAGAGAGGTTTTTATCTATAAAAGCAAGACTTAAGCTTAAATAACTTGGAATGAGGTTAAATTGGCTTTAAAAACCAATGTAGAAAATTTCATATGTGTTTAAACCAATTAAGAATACAAATTGAAGAGGTTGATAAACATCACTTTAAAAAATCTTAATAATTAATCTGATATCAGTACCATTTAAACAATAATTTATTACCGCCATGTGATAATTCTAAAGGAAATAACAGAAGGTTTAGGAATTCTTAAAAGAAAATGGAAAAAATAAAGAATGATCTGTTTTTGTTTGACATGAGCGAATTCGTCTAAAAGTATCTACCATTTGGTTATATTTCAATATTTAAGCGTAAACGCATTAATGTAATCCTCTTGTATAACTTATTAAGGTTTAAACATGTATTGATTATGTTTCTTATAACTTAATGAAACTTCAGACATTGGAATGTCTGATTCAAGAAAACTTGAATGTTTTAGCTGCTTGCTAATTTATAAGCTTAGTTTTTAAGTTTTGCTTTTGAAACACAGTAAAAACCTAATTTTAAAAAAACAATTAACTTATTGTTTACCTAAAAAAAAACTACTTTCACTGTTGCTGCCAGACTTGGTATTAGTAATATATCTTTGTTCTGAGGACAATTATGGGGTTCCAACCAGTGGAGGTCCTAAGAAATTGTTACTGGGGTGGCTAAGGGATTCCCAGAGGTGACCACATCAGCATGGTACCTGACCAGCGGTGGTTCTAGAAATTGTTCATAGGGTCCGTCATAGGGGCCAATGTGCACTGAGGGGTGGCTGAAAACTGATAGGTGCCAAAAACATCTTATGGTAGACCTATACTGATCAAAATAAACTAACAGGAAAATGAATGTGCACAACATCTATATTTTCTAAATAAATCACTGAAGACAGACAAGATTTTGATTAGAGTACATGCTGATAAAGCTATGTGAATATCTATACATTAGTACTGTTTAAATTAATTTATTGTTATACATAATATATACAATGGATTGAGCAATGTTATTTATCTTTAAAGAAGACTCCTAGGTGACTGCAGAGAAATGCTCTCCTAGAAAACCTAAAAACTAACTTAGAAAAGAGCAAACATTCTGTATTAGACCTCTGCATTTGTAGTATATTGTTGTGAATGATGTTTTGCTGCATTTTTCTATTCAGTTTTTGGTTAATATACCAGCTTTAAAATGTTAAAGTAAGAGCACTTTTGCAAAATTAGCAACTCTGTTTCTATGTTTAACAAATTTTAAGAAGTAATAAATGCTTGAAATTATTTTACAGAGTTCATTTATAGTTTTAAACATTAATTAATTTTAAATCATTGTATGCAAATTAGCTGATTATGTCATGTAGTGACTTCTAGCCGATTTAAGAATAGCCAATAGAGACTTTTCTTGTTGAAGAGTTGGCAACAGTGGGTTCCAGTGGTCCTAAGTGTGGCTGAGATTGTAGCTTGCTGTATTATCTGGACTCTCCTGGTTCCAGACTGTCCTACAAAACTCAGAGAAAGAAAGATAAAAAGAGTCTGCTTCTGCTGTGGTTATTGGTTGGCCATTTTTATCTCATGGCTGTGAGAAACAACAAAGCATATTGGTTTAAAATTAAACTGAAATGTGCTAAAAAGGTCCAAAGGCAACACAGCCTTTGAGGATGATTTTTAAGCAAAGCTGGATTTAGAGGTTCAGGAGCTGAAGCACACAGACAAATCCAGAACAGGAGCAACAGCTTTCCCATTCCTAGTGTTCAACTATTACACTGAAAAAAATAGAAATTTAGATAAGTCATTTTTTCTTAAAATAAGTGCATTTGTTCTTGGATTGAGGAAGTAAAAGAAACATTTTGCCAATGGAACAGGACAATTTAAACTTAAAAATATAAAAAAACACAATGGCATTGTCTTATTTAAAGTGCATATTATCTAATTATCTTATTTTAAGAGTAAAAATACTCATTCCATTGGCAAACTATCACATTTACCTACTCAAATTAAGAGTAAATTTTACTTATTTCTAGATTGTTTTTCCAGTGCAATGAAACAGGGTCATTGTAAGAAGGGACCTGAGCAAAGGGGAAAATAAATGGACTGTTTTTAAGTGAAACAAAATCTCTAATTTATTGATTAAAATATCTGAAATTAAGGTCCCAGAGTCTAGGAGAAGATAGGAGAGGCTCAGTATCCAAGCTACTTGAATAACTGTGGGAAGTTTCAGCAGTCATTGAGGATTTTGGGTGCCATAGCACCCACTGTGTTTTCTAAATTCTAAAGTTGACTCACCTCCCTACCAGGAAGTTATAGGGCAGCCCATGCTCCTTTTTGCTGGGTAGCTAAAGGTAGATGCTGCTTTCAGCTACCAGAAGAATCTGGCATCTGCCCACAGAACCAAAGGTGCCGATTCTTGTCCATTGTCGAGAGAATCATCAGTAAACTGTCTCTATATAAACTTCAGAGCCCAATCTAGGGTATTATCAGGATGAGAGCAACAGATCCAACAATATAGATGAACCAAAGACTGCTATAAAATCAGCTGAGATTCATTAAATAAATTACCTCCATTTAAAATTGTTATTTTACAAAGATTTACTTTTTGGAGACTTTAGCACCTCGAGAAAAAACATAAATGTGTTTAACACCATGCTGCAGACTTTCTGACATTTTATCTGGGGACCAAGGTAGCAACAAACCACCCTTTTTGCTAAAGAAAAAAAAAGTAATAAAGACATATTACAAACGGTATTATAGACATTGGCTGTAAATATGTGCCTGAAATTATTTAAACAGACTTCAGGCTCCAATTGGCTTTAAATAATTAGAAATCTGTTGTCTCATTGATAATACTGTTTTAAATTAGCCTTTTAAGAAAATTATGAAAATTAATTTATGTCTACATCTTCTCTGTTTTAATACTCTTTAAATTATTTATTATACATTTTATAATAAGTGCTCTAACTACTACAGGGCTGCCAACTTTTCACAAAACCTTGGGGTGAGATTTTGAAATAGTTTGGACAGGAAACCCAGTCAGGGAAAATAGGTTGGAGATTTTCAGAGGATTTAACTGAAACAAAGTGTCAGAATGTGGAATTTTAATAAAACAGTAAATGTTACTGAGTAACAATAAGTGCTCTGTAGTTATGTGGAACATTTTTCTCACAATAGAAATTATTTTTATATATTCTGGTGATTTTTAGATAATTGAAGTAAAGCAGAATGAGACCTACTAAAATACCTGCATCTAATATATACTTTAAACTAAGAATTTCACAAATTTGTTCACTAATTATTCTCTGCAGTTCAAGTAAATTAAACAATGGGGAACTAATAAGCTATTACTAGATTCCTGGCACTGATACAGCAACCAGTTCCATAGAATCCCATGCAAATTGCACTGTGTATGAATATATGGTAATAGGCTAAGGAATAAAAAGCTTCCTTCATTATGTTATTAGTTTTTCTTACAATTGACAAAACTGCTAAACAATCAGACCCTCTAGGAGGCTGTAGATTTTATTTAAAAAAAACTCTCCATGACAGGAGATGGCACTTCTCTGGATGTTTCAGTTTGGAAGATGTAATTGATATTAAGTTTTTTAATATATTCAATAGACCAAAATGAAAATAAATGAATATGATACGTAATACTAAAATAAGAACATCCCTATGGTTTCTCCTCTGTGAATCCAGGATAACTTGAGGTATCCTCTCTGTATGTGGATGGTCTTTTTGATCTTTTAAAAAATAAAATGCAATAGTTCTCTTTCTTTTTGTGGACCTCCTATGGGTTTGAGAAGCAAACCTGGAAGCTTTAAGAATTAAAATATTTGTGTTGGTTTATTTACTGCTAAATTCCAACAGGAGATTATTCAACTAGACTTAGGTGAATTTTAATATCTGTCATTTTTTTAGTGTGAGAAATTAGGAATATGGAGAGTGAGAGTGTGTGAAAACACTGAGATGGGTAAGTGTCACTCCCAATGGGTGAGAGTTGACAGCCCTGCTACTGTAGCAGCTCAGCCATAGTATGCATGGTGCAGAAGTGACATGTCATTTCAACTTTTCTGTTTTTCTCAAACTTCTCTGTGAAAGTTCCAAGGAATCAGACTAAAATCAGACCCTGCATACTTGCATAGAACAGTCACGTGATAAACAAAAAATAATGATTAAAGTTTTTGTGTAATCAGAACTTCTGTTCTAATGGATATTCTAACATTAGCACTAAGCAAAATACTCTGCCAAACTCTTAAAGTGCCATCGTGACCCTTCCGCTGTCAGAGGCACGCTGGGAAATGTAGTCTTTGAAAACTAGAATAATTCGGTGCAGATACTGCTAAAGAACAGCATTTCCCATAATTCATTGCGAATTTTCTTCCTCCTCTCCTTCCTTCCTGCTGCCTCGGCTCTTCACTGCTGAAAAAGGAAGATGAAAAGCCGCCGCTGCAGCCCTTTACAGAACCGACACTGAACCAAACCGGACCTCCAGAGGAATGTCGGCGAAGCGGCTGCTGTTGGAGCGGAGGCCGAGCTCAGCTGCCGATACCCGGCCCTGAACACGACGCGACCAGCCTGGAGGATCAGGCGGGTGGAGCTGCAGCCCGCCGGGCCGGGACGTTCCCAGCCGAACCCAGCCGAAGAGCGTTCCTCTTATCCACCGTCCAGTCAGCAATGCAGGGAGCCCCGCTGGACTGAAGAGCCGTCTGCCCCCCGCATCCCGTAACCAGACCCCGACATTCAGGTGAGACCCCCTCCCTGCTCACCTGGGTCCAGCAGGTAGACCTGTCCTGCTCCGGTGTCATGTTGGAAACAAGCTGGTATCAAATGGATCCTGTCTAAATAAAATATAGATACACTTAAGTCTAGAAGTTTCCATCGACTTAGCCTGAAGTTCAGTATTTTATTTATGTGTGATTAAAAAATAATAATAAAAAAAAAACTATATAAAAAAACACGTTGATTTTAAATGTTGTGACATATACAACCAGAGAAACTGTTTAAAACAGTTTGCTTCACATCTCTACTTTTGTTTAGGATTCTGTTTCACATAAAGCTAAACCCATTTAAATATATTGGTTAAATTTCCACTATACAGTTGAAGATCCATCCACCTAGTGATATGGTACAGATGGCCATTAAACTCCAGGGCCTCTGTACACTGGCTGAGCATAAGCTCCAAAGCATGATGCTGCCACCACCCTGCTTGGTAGTTAGTGCTTTGTTATCGAGTTACTAGGCTTCACCTTGACTCGTTCATAAGTACAGAGTTAAAAAGTTTAGATCCATCAATTTAGTGTGTAGTTCCCTCTCAAGTCGAAATCAAGAAACCAAGTCGTTCTTTTATTTACTGGCTTTAATCACACAAGAATCATGATAGTGTGCCATGAGAACTGTCAAAATATGCAGACAAAAGCAAATAAAACTAATTATTTCCCAGTAAAGACATCAAAGGAAAAATGCGACCATACAATATATGACTCAACAGAAATTCTTCACGTTACATCATAACGGTCAAACAAAGTAAACAGTAAATTAAACAAAAATGTACCTCATTGGCCCCTTTCCCTTGAGAGAAAATCAGAATCTTCAGTCCTTTATTGCACCATGCACCTTATCCAATTTCCAGAACCACGTTACTGATCCACAGGAACCGACCCTCAAAGGTAACTGCCGTCAACCCGCGGCAGCAACCTTTCGGTTCTCGCCTTAATTAAGACTCATTCCCCCAAATTAAACAAATAATATTCATGAAATTATGCTTTTAATATGTAACTATTGTTACTAGAAATGTATGTATTTATCAACTCTATATTTTTAACCTAAATAATTATTTATTCTGACTTCGATGGCAGTTAAATAGTGCCTTATAGGTTGTTTTTGTAGAGTTAGTAAATGTTATAATTCTTTAATCGCTAATAAATATATGAATAAAGTTATGAATTACTAAAGATTCTGAAAGTTAGACTTTTGATCATGCAGTTGATCTTTTTATGGTCCTCCTGTTGGCTGCAGCATGGAGCGCACCGGCAGCATTCAGCTGGACATCCCTGACTTCAGTAACTCAGTCCTGTCACACCTGAACCAGCTGCGCGTTCAGGGACGCCTCTGTGACATCGTGGTCAACGTTCAGGGCCAGAGTTTCCGTGCACACAAGGTGGTCCTTGCCGCCAGCTCGCCGTACTTCCGCGACCACATGTCTCTGAGCCAGATGAGCACCGTGTCGCTGACTGTTATCCGCAACCCGTCCGTATTCGAGCAGCTGTTGACCTTCTGCTACACGGGCCGCCTCTGCCTGCAGCTGGCGGACATCATCAGCTACCTGACAGCTGCCAGCTTCCTGCAGATGCAGCACATTATCGACCGCTGCACCCAGATCCTGGAGGGCATCCACCTGAAGATCAGCTTGGCTGACGTGGACGAGGCCTCCAGGGAGGAGGAAGTGGTGATGCGGGGGTCCCGGAGCAGCAGGACAATGGAGGCTGCGGTTCGAGGAGGGGCTCATCACAGCGGTCTGAGGCTTCTTGGTCCCAGAGGAGGCGCAGAGGTGTTTGAGGTGGTCAGCCCAGCAGAGGAGCCATCCAGCCCACCGCCGACAGTGGAGCACAGTGGGCTTGAGGGGCCTGGGACCACCAGCAGCAGGGTGAGCAAAGAGCCCATCCTCCGCATAAACCGGGCTGGTCAGTGGTACATGGAGACGGGCAGCGAGCCGGAGCGGACTGACAGCGCTGAGGAGGGCACCGGAGTGGACAGAGTCAGGATCAAGACGGAGAGGACGGAGGACTGGATCGGAGCAGGAGGTAATCAAGAGGAGGGGGCCTCCGCAGAGGAGGGCACCATGATGATTGACACATCAGGGCGCAGCACGCTGATGACGGCCCCACAGGGAGGCCCTGTAACCCGCAGTGGGCAGGCGTCCTCCAGCTTCAGCGAAGTCGACCGGTGAGTTCCTGTTACCTCCAGGTGTGACCCGACTGAGTGGAGAAACTTGATTATGCTTGTTTCTGGTTCAGGTTCAGTCCCACTGGCAGCGTGGTCGTCCTCACAGAGCGCCAGAGAGCCAAGAGTGAGTCTCCAAACAGAGCAGACGAGCTGCGGCAACCAAGCTCACAAGTAAGAACACAAAATGTAAAAGAAAAATGAAACTTGATGTACTTTTGGACCTCTGGAACTAAGGCCAAATCTAGGTTCTACACAGTAGCCTGCAAAAGGATAAGAGCCCTTTTTCTAGAAGAGTATGTTTCTCCATTAATAGCTGTAGGTCTTTCAGAGTATGATTTCATTGGAGAATGGCTAAATTGGATGAAGTTTATATTTGAACATCAATTATAAAGTCATTTATAAATTCTAATATGCTCTGAATTGGATCATATCGAAACCACAGCAGCTTTGAAACAATGTTTATGGTCGTTCTACATGGTTTCATCCAGGATTGCCTGAATTTTAGCTTCACCTATCTACTCTGACCCGCCTCCCTAAAGCTATTGATGAAAATCATCCCCACAGGATGACGCTACCACTACCATATCTTATCATCAGGTTGATTTTTTTATTCGTTTTCCTTCACTTTTCATTTTCATGCAGGGCAAAAAGTAAGACTTTTGTCTTATCTAAACATAATCAGTCTTTAACAGATTTAATGTGTTTTAAAGATGTCTTAGCTGAAAACTATTTACTTATTGCTTATAGAGTGAGGAGCTAACTGTTCTAAGCTAGCTTCCTGTTATGGATTAAGTGTATCAGACTAAAGGGTGACTCATCTTAGATTTGGATTTTGAAAACAAATCAAGGTATATTTTCTTTCTATTAGTTGGTTATATAATCAAAGTTTGTAGTTGTTATGTGAAAGTAAAATTTAACTTAAAGGGCTATATGCTGTTGCATGGAATTGTAAACATTTCAGCAGGTTTTGTTTAGTGAGTTGTAACAAATCAGAGATAAAACATTTCAGACAGCTTTCCTTGCAGGAGTGGATGTACCAGCAACTACAGCCCAGCCTCTGAGGTTTCATTATTTATAGAACTTTTAATAAATCGCATAGCTCTATTTCAGATTACGTAGTGCTAAGTTAGCATGTTACCGGTTAGATTTTGGAAAAAGGACAATTAGAAAAAGAATTAAAGTTACAGTTTGTAATTTTCAGCGACATCTAATGTTCAGACTGTTGCCGCATGAACCACTCCCCCCACCACTTCTCTTCGTCCAACAATACGGAGGCCGTCATAGTACGAAATGGGTTCAGCAATGTCTGCATCACCTTTCCTGTCAAGTGATGATGAGGTTTTTTTTTTGTTTTTTTTTACATGGATGATTGAATAAATAGTATTCTTTAGTCTGTGTAGATATAGATTTTATATAGACCTAACTTACTGCAGTCTTATCAGAGTTTATCAGCTCTGCACTGCCGTTGCACAAAAGAAGCCTGCCTCTATAAAAAGGAGACCTGCACCAATGTAATTCTAAATAGCACTTCTAAAGGCAATGCAAACATTAAGGTTAAAACTGAGTCTGTGGATAACATGTAATTATTACCCATTGTAGCTTCAACTACAGAATTGCTACTTCAGAGGGTTTAGAGGAGAAAGGCTCAAAAAAAAAAAAAAAGTCCAAGGACTTTTAAAACGATCACTTTTGGACACATGATAACCTAAATAGAGAGGATTAATAAACAGACACAGATCAGCATATTAAAGGGGAACGCCGTTTTTTTTACATTGGGCCCTTGATTTTACGTTATTACATCATGTTCTATGTCATGTGGAGCTGTTCTGAGGATATTTGGTTTTGTTATATCCAAGTAACGTCTTTCTATGGGCAACGAGTTGAAGGCACAAACTAAACTGTTCATAATTGATCATTTAGGGTACGCCAGCATTCATAACCTGTAGGCGAATCATTGTCCCCCAGACATCCACAGTTGTATTTTTTATATTTATATATTTTTAAAACTAAGCGGAGTGTGTATGACGTCATCCACATGCTGGACTGGAGTTGTGACAGGCAGCCTGGGCCACAGGCGGCTACGCTCTACCCCTTCTATTCATTCTGCTAGCTAATCTGAATCATTCAAATCCATTTCGAGAGCGAGATCATCTGTGGTAGTAGCACTAGACATCTTCCAGGCATGTAAGTAAAACTAGCAGCAGTTCAACATACAGGATGAATGAATGTTGCCGGCGCGCGCGGATGACATCATACACACTCTGCTTTGTTTTAAAAAAATATAAATATAAAAAAAATAACTGTGGATGTCTTGGGGAACATTGATTCACCTACATATTATGAATGCTGGCGTACCATAAAGAATAAATCATGAGCAGTTTAGTTTGTGCCTTCAACTTGTTGCCCATAGGAAAACGTTACTTGGATTACACAACCAAATATCTTCAGAAAAGCTCCAAATGACACAAAACTCATATGGGTGAGTAGAACATGATGTTATAACGTAAAATCAAAGGGGTTAATGTAAAACAAAAAAAGAAAACGGTGTTCCCCTTTAATAAAATTGACAATTGCTTCCAAGTTATATCAAATATGGTCATTTAGTGAAAATATAGGTTCGTTCTCTCCAACTTTCTACATCCTACGACAAGCCTGGAGCACTTGTAAAATTATACCAGAGAGAAGAAAAGAAATAGGAAAAAGTTTGTAATGGAACATATTCCCCTACATCACTTGTACGAACAATTGAGGAACGAATTTGTTCATATGAACAGTTATTGCATGAGGCCCAATGGTCCCAAACACAGCAGCTCAACTACATAAAAAGTAAAAAAAAAACTCAAACTGGGTGTTTATTTATATATATACAATAATTCTGTGTATGAGAGTTCAGTATGTTCCTGCAGACAAGGTTTCCCTCAACATGACCTGTTCCAGCTGGCGTGCAGCAAGGTTAAGGCCTCCACATACTCAGGCAGACATGTGTCAGACAGGTGTACACAAGGAAAAATATTTATGTCTGTGTACGAGATGTCTCTCCACACTATTCACTGGGAAAGTGCTTCTTGCCAGAAACGATTCATACTGAAATATTCTAAAGGGAACACAGTGGGCAAGGCTCTTCAGACGATGGCAGGCAGTGACAACCACTCAAAGCTCCCGGTCACAAGGACCCACTGCAGCAGCCACTCTCTCTCTCCTTTCTCCTCGCACCAAGAGGTGGGAGAAGAAACTACTGAGGGGCCCGTCTGGACCTTGTTTCTCTTGTTTTGGCATAGCTAGAGGGAAAACATGTCAGATGATGCCACGGCAGTGTGGGAAATTTAGGAATAGGTATGCTTGACTATGTGGGAGCCTTTAGAAAACGAATGACACGACAAACGGATGACAAACAGACACTTGGTAAATATCCTGATTGTCTAGTTTCAGCTAAAGAAATGTTTGTTTCTGTCTCCCAGGGGGAAGAGCAGGCAGCGTTTGATATGGGCGGCTATGAGGACTACCTGAGGGAGCAGGTTGGAGACCGCTGGTTCCGCTACAACCCTCGGCTCACTTGTATCTACTGCTGCAAGTCGTTCAACCAGAAAGGCAGCCTCGACCGGCATATGCGTCTCCACATGGGAATCACGCCGTTCGTTTGCCGCATTTGCGGGAAGAAATACACCCGGAAGGACCAGCTGGAGTACCACATCCGCAAGCACACCGGCAACAAGCCCTTCCACTGCCACGTCTGCGGAAAGAGCTTCCCCTTCCAGGCCATCCTCAACCAACACTTCCGCAAGAACCACCCGGGCTGTGCTCCCCAGGAGGCCCACAGTGCCTCCCCCGAAACCACCACCACCTCAGTCCCCTCCAGCCGAGGGCCAAACGACGAGGCCTCCCCGAGCCAGGAGGAGCCTGAAGCCGGTGGCGGTGGGAGCGGTAACGGTGGAGGCCAGTACGGAGAAGCTCCTCAGACCTCCGTTTCCACCACAGGGCCCGACTGACCTCAGTGAATGGAGGATGCTGAGTCAGCATTGGGAGCGGGTCCGATCCCGTTGCGTATAAATGCGACAGGGTACCGATCCGTGTGAAGTCAACGCACACCTCAGAGTCCAGAATGAGATTCTTACCGCTTTAAACCGCATCTACCCTCACTAACCAGACAGAACAGATTAAGCTAAAGATGAAGAAACACCACACACTCCTACAACCTCATACACCACAAAGTCAGTGGCTCTCGTTTGCCTCCGTTAACTTTTTGTTGCAGATTTCTACTTTTTATATATCCAGGTTCACAATGCAGCATTAAGACCATCCGGGGAGTCTGGGGGAGGACGTTGCCAAAATAGTCAGTGCCAGTTTAACAGATCAAATCCTTTTTATTTGCCTTGAGACAATCTGGAGCAATCAGGTTAATAATGCTAACATTAATAATAATAATCATTGCGCTGTTTAAGTGCCACAGTGACAGTTTTGTTCATGAGGAAAGTTTTATGTCAGGGGTGACTGGAGTTTCTGACATCCGTCACATTTCGTCCGTTTACACTACAAACAATATCTGCAGCTTTAACCTCAGTTTAAAGGCATTATACTTGGATTTTGTTTCGATGCCTTCAAAGACCTCATTTATACAAGGACATAAAATGAAGGCTGATTCTAAATGAGTACTTGTGCGTTCTCATGTGCTCGTGAAACGTCATCAGCCTCAGTCCTAGTACCCTTCCAATTCACAAGAACACAAGACTGAGAACGGACAAAGTCCCTGGATGCTGTTTTCGCCCCTGCCTCTTTACTGTGCATGCATCAAAGCAGACTTGTCCGTTCTTGAGTTTGACAAATGTCCCAGCATGCACCGCTGCAGCAGCAGCTTCCAGTGGAGCGCTCAATGAGCTCTAGAGTATTAAGTTGAAAAAAAAAAATGTTTTCTGTTGTTGTTCTACTAAGGTACGCTGGTGAAGATTCTCAATCATCCAGGTCCTAGTAATTCCTTTTTTGTTCTACTTAAGTACGTTTTAAGATCATTTTAGGCAAGAACATTATACTTTTAAGCATCACTATACGGCCCATTTACTGATTTAGTGCGTAACTTATAAAAAAGTTCCGATGTTTAGAGGACTGCGGGAACCAGCGGTCCTCCTAGGCCAGGGCTAACGTTAGCCTGTCTGCAGCAGCCCTCTCTCGGCATAGCATAGATTTTTTGCTTTATTTGGCAAAATGTTTATTTGATTCGTTTTTATCTGACTGAATTAATTATTGACTGACTTAATTATTATTCCCCCACTAAATGGAAAGAAGTCATGATTTATTATCTAGAGACTATTAATAACAGGAGGTGAAATACAGCTCCAGACTAGCTTTGAACATAAGGGACGTCACGAGTACGCTTCTGTTCCAATTGACCAATTATGCTGCGTGCTCCCGTTCTCACAGAGTTCATACTTCCCTGTGTTCTCGTCAAGAACATACTTGGCGAGAACACGAGTCCGTACTCGGGTTCTTGTGAATTAAGAAACAGCTTAAGTTTGATCTAAAATTACTGTGGCTCTATGAGCTGTTGGATAGCTGTTTTTGTCCAATAGGGCAATTAAAATCCTTAAATCGTCCAATAAGCAATACTAGAGCTCAGTAATTTTTCGAATACTGGTTTAGTTTAACTAAAGGCTTGAAATGCTACATCAGCTATGAAAAAATCTAACATTCTTCTGATTTTTTTTTTTTTTATTAGAATAGTTTTAAAGTATAAATCTTTTATCATTTATAATATATTCTATATAAAAATCATAATATAGATTTTAACCTGTGTTAAACTATAACCTTGCTATATGATACACTTGCTCTAACACCGAGCCAAAAGATGGTATGTTTTTAAGTTTTCTACCTTTTTCAAATGAGATTTTTTTTTTTAAGAAACCGGCCAACAGAAACTCCAGTCACACTGACTTAGATAAATTAGCTGTAAAATATTTACTCATTTCACGTTGATGTTTCATTACTGTGGCAGTGAAACCTTTAAAGGATCTCGTAGATTTAGTTTGAACCGTTTGGCAGCGTGTGAAACAACCGAACAAACTCACAATAACAAACAGTCTCAGATAAGCTACACAGCTCAATAATTACCTCTCATCACTACGCAATACAGCTGCTGCACATTCAGCACCACCTGGGGGACACTCTGGTCCACTTACACAGAGATCTCCATCAGTCTTCTCAGATATTTCTTTTTTTTTTATAAACAAGCATGTCTTTATTTTTTACTTTTGTTTATCATTTCTGTACACCTCTGTGCATTTGACAGTGAATCTTATTGTTTAATAGGAGAAAATAATCAGGAACCGTTCAGAAACATTTGTTGCAGTCATTGATGCATTATATCTTCTGCACTCCTGACATACAAGTAGCTTTTAGAGTAATGTTGAACCGTTATAGGCCTCCAATTCTTAGTTTTACTTTTGGATATATAATTTACACTGTTACTCCTGTAATTTTGAACATTATTTGCCACTCACTTTTTTTTGTAAACCTCCACTTCTACACAAAAAAGTTCTTTTGTCTTTACATTATTTGTATTTCATTTATCATTGAAAAATTAAATACATTGAAAACTAAACAAAATAGTATAAAACCAGATTAAAGAAACTGTTTAAGCATCAACCTTTACCACTCCAGTTCCAAGTGGGTTTCAGATTCAGAGATATGATTTTGGTAGATTAAAATTCAGTCTGAGGTGAAGTTTATTATATTCAGTTTTACAGAAATAAACGGGTTTTAAGTAGAGGCTGATAAAAATGAACAGCAGAGTGCAGTAGAAGTAGTGCATCATTGATGACAGATGATCTGGGTTTAAATGAATAAGAAAAAGGAGATCAAACCTGGATGTAATTACCTTGCCATTGGTGCGGACTTATAATCCTCAATATGGTGTACGTCAGAGCAACTGGCAACCAAAGGACAGCGGCGCGGCCATTTTGGTCCTCCAAAGAGCCCAAACTTCGCACTTAACAGCAGAAGAGTCATGGTAGAAAAAAAACTGAACAATAACTAATCCACGAATATTATCAGATGTATTTAAACTACTAAGATGTTTTTTTTTCATATATATGTTAATGAATTAGGAGTGTAAAAACAGACTTATGGCGAGTTGGGAGGTAGCACATGGATCCGCTGTTACTGTTTTCTACAGGACTGTGAATCTAAATCTCAGTGGACAGTAAATGTTTTTTATGCAAGTGAAGCCAGTGGCTCCATCCTCACACTGAGAGACTCGAGATTTGTTCTCGGATCCCACAACAAGAGCCGCCGCCACGCTCACACTTCAGGCCTAACCAGGATCTATCAGGTATAAAGACCTTCTTTTTTTATCCTGTCTTAAGTGGAAGTGTTTTTGTTTTGTTTTTTCCCCCCTTTGTAGCAGAGTGGTAACGGTTTAACCTCAGTGCAGTTTGCACACTGCAGGAATAAAAATTCAGGCTCTGCTTACACGACATTGTTTTGCAAAAATTGAAAGGTTTTGTTGTTCACCTGCTGCTTGTTTCTATTACAATTGTTGCATTTTTCTGGACGTGAAAACGTGTGCAATGTTTTGAACGCAGCACGGTCCCTGTTGTGTACACATGAAAAATGGCATCTCTTTAAGAGAAAGCATTAGCAACCAGAGACCTGTTGCAAAGAATACAGCCCCTACTGGTGGCGTGGCAGTGACATTACATGATTTTAAAGTTTCTACTAGTTTGCACAAAGATCGCAATTAAAACGCCATGTAGATGTGTTAAGATAAACAGGGAAAACAATCCTGTTACAAATGATGATTGTCGTGTAAACAGAGCCTTAATGTAAATAAACACACTAGCAGCAGGTAAAACACATATTTCTTTGAGTGACAACTGGATTACAAGAAAAACAAAAACGATGCTGGGCAATATGAAGCAAAATATCTTAAACCATAAGACCTCGTACGTCTTCTCTAGCCACGTTTAAAACAGGTTGCAGTTTAAAGTCGGTAAAGGATTTGACAAACGTTGCTCTTGATTGCTGCCTTTAGTTTATATATATCGTAACTAAAAACATTTGTAATAATTTTAATCATTTGTTTAACTTTGCTCACGTGTTTTCTTTTTTACCCCACTAGTTTGGCGTAGGTATGGTGTTTTTAAAGTGATCTGATATTTCAGGGCACAGGTTAAATTGTTTATGTTTATCTTTCACATTTAAACAACAGTAGTTTATTCTCATGGGAAAAAAAGGACCTCAGCAGCTTATGTGCAGCAAAAAGTGAGCTTATAGTTATTTCATTTGTTCAAATTTACAAGCAGGTGTTTGGCTACCAAATGCATCTCAAAGCAGGGTTTAAGTCTTTGTCTTTTCATATATAACTGCATCAAAACTTTAAATTTTACATTAAAAAAATAAAGATCATAATAATCTAGTAACATCTTTTAAAGGTGGTGAGAGTGCTAAATCTTAGCTGGTCTTTTTTTATTTAAATTTTTTTCTTATAAAGTAGTAATTGAGGCAATGACATCAAAAGTGGCTGGGTTTTTTTTCTTATATTTTTGGAAAAAAATTCTAATCATCACATCAAGTCAGATTTCCATAATAAAGCAAATTAAATGAAGTATAATTTTCCAGAATAATACATAAGCTGAATTTAGTTTTCCTAAAAACAGTGTTTTTTTACCTTTACAAACTTAATTGGATAGCTGCTTTAAAATAAAAGCCTTTCTAAACCAGTTATTTCTGACTTGTTTTGCCTAATGAGAGGTAGCTGAAAAGGAGCACTAATAATTGTCAGACTGTTGTGTTTATTAGTTAACACTTTCTAACCATACCATAATAAGGCTGATATTTAAATCGTCCTAAAATTGAAACCTTTAAATTGATTTTCACCCATCAAGAAAAGATTGGAAAAATGTGTAATGTTGTTTTTTTTTGGGGATATTTATGTAATTGTTTGAAATTTGTGACTTTAGAATTTAAGAATATTAATTCTATTAATAATACAATAATATTAAATATTATTTAAGCAGAATTCTCTTAACCAGCCGTCTATAAAATGCTACCTATTTTACCTACCTATGTTTCCAATTATGTAAATATCTAAATCAATTACAAATTTTTGGATTGCATTTGTTAAAAAAAAACATTTCAAGCCCATCCCGAACAAGTCTTAACCATTTTCGTCTCACTTTTTAGTCAAACATGGTTGAAATGTTTTTTTTAGCATCATCTTGTCCCTTGAATCTAGAAAAAAACATAAAAATATCCTTTCTGAATTTGTGATAAATGTTAAAATCTGCCTTGATATTAATCTTAAAAACAAACATGCTCTTTGCCATGTTAGGGCTATTTTTGAGTCAACTAAAATGAGATTTATGTCATTTATGTATAGACGTATATACCGGTATTTTTCCTTTTTAAAAACAATTGCTTTAGAATTTCCTGTCAGTTATCTGGTTTTATAAAATAAATTAAACAAATTATAGCTTCAGATGCTATTAGATGCACCGAATCCATTTCGTAACCATTCTAAACTGGTTACAAGCATAGACGAGAAAATTAGTTTGTCAAAATTGCCTGGCCTTGAATTTTTACTTCCCACTAATAGGGTACATATGTAAAAATTGAAACTGCATAATTAGGCAGATATCTATTAAATACTACTTACACATGCAAAAATTAAGAATTATAAAATTATTTTTAAAAATTAAAATAGATTTCTGACCTTTTTGTAGTTTCGTAACCTGTTAGTTAAGAAAAGACATTCGTAGAAGTTAAAATAATATTCCTGCAACAGAATACCTCACTTATCTTGTAGTCTGCTATGCTAACCCATTAGCTCATTAGCTTTGTGTGAGCTCGTTAATGGAATTTGTGTGATTTAAATTTAGAGGATTTTGCAACATTTCTTAAAAGCTATATTTCATTTTTATGCTTTCTATAACATTAAGTTGTATTGACTGTGGCTCAGACATCTTGTGTTTTGAAATATATTTTCAAAGTACCATACATACTAATTAGGACATGTTGCCCAGCTCGCCACACAAAGACATTAACCCAGTTTGTCCTCCTCAACAGATGGATATAATTTGTTTTTAAGTTGCAGTTCAACAGATTTCAGGTTCAGCCTTTATTCATTTGCCTTTTAAATGTTTTTGTCTTTGGCGTTTGTCTCGGCAGTGAGGGATATATTCTTTTAGCAACAAATCATTTCAAGCCAGTTGCAGTCAAAAACAAGCTTTTTACAAGTTAGATTATCTCTGGTTCTTAATGAAGGACTCAGGGGCGCTGGTCAGATCCAACCTCTTTCATGATTATTTTTACTCCTAATCATCAAGGCATCAAAATAAAGATGCCCTAAACCAGTGACTGCTAAAGTTTAAGATTGTTTTCCCTCTGAACAATGGGGAAACATCTTTTTTTAAGAAAATTATGACAAAACTAAAGCGGTTTCCTGCACAAAATCTGACTTTTGCCTCTGACTTAGTCCTTCTTTTTTTATTATTTTACTTTTTAAATATGTTCATGTTTAAACTGTGAAAAACAGCCAAACCTCACCATTATCATCATCATCTAGGTTTTTACATTATACTATTGTTTGTTCTTGGTAACACTGTCTGCTTCTCTGCAAAATGCCAAACTTTGGTTTTTAGCTTAAAGTCTGAAACTACTTGCTTTTTACTGTTGCTTTTTTTTTTTTTACTTTGTGAATTTAATGTTTAGTATAAAGAATATACAGTAACTGACCACAATATGCCTAATTATGAATCTAATCATTTAAACATAATCACTTAATGAGATTACTCTTTACTGTCGATTCCTCAAAGTATATCCTAATATATTGAAGCAGAAAATGAAATTTAGTGAATGATCTTTTAATATTGTACATTTTTAATGGAGGTACCTGACGAGCTCTTTAATTGATGAACCTGGAAGGTTTTATGTGAAGATGTTTTTATTTTGCATGTGTCTGTTGCTAAATCATGTTGGAAAAGGGGTGGGGGGGAGGTTGTGTGTGAAGGCCAAAGGTCGATTAGTTCAAAGATGAAAATGTGAAGAAACTTTTTTCACTATGACCACTAGATCACTCACAGTTTGTTTCTCCTGATGAAATAAAGCACTTTAAGTGTAAAACTGCAGCAACTCTCCTTTTCCTTTCTTCATGTCACAAACTATAGACCTGCAGCGTCATCAAAAAACAACCAATATTGTTAAAAAGTTCAGTGTTTAGTATCAGGGAGGTGCCGAGCCCATGTTAATATCCGTACAATGTTGGCCAAAAAAAGTGGTATTGGATTTTATTGGTTGGCATCCCTCAGCTCCAATATTTCTATTCTGCAAATCACTGCTTCTGTTTAAAGTTTCTCTAACTCATTCTTGAGTTGTTTTCATTCCTTTTGTTCCCCGTTTCAGTAATATTACTTGATAAAACCTTTTCTAACATTCTACAGTATAAATTGATTCATGCTAATTTTGTTTCAGGTCGATATCGGTATCGGCCAATTCTCAAAGCTATAATATCTTTGTGTTATCACAAATGAAGTTTTATCAGGTCACTGCTTTTTATTATCCTTGATTTCAGGAAGCGAAACTCATTATATAGATCTATTACACAGAGAAAGAAAAAATTTTAAACCATTACATTTTTTTTGCAGTTCCCTGATGATTGGTTTACAGGTAATACAACTNAAGAAAATTATGACAAAACTAAAGCGGTTTCCTGCACAAAATCTGACTTTTGCCTCTGACTTAGTCCTTCTTTTTTTATTGTTTTACTTTTTAAATATGTTCATGTTTAAACTGTGAAAAACAGCCAAACCTCACCATTATCATCATCATCTAGGTTTTTACATTATACTATTGTTTGTTCTTGGTAACACTGTCTGCTTCTCTGCAAAATGCCAAACTTTGGTTTTTAGCTTAAAGTCTGAAACTACTTGCTTTTTACTGTTGCTTTTTTTTTTTTACTTTGTGAATTTAATGTTTAGTATAAAGAATATACAGTAACTGACCACAATATGCCTAATTATGAATCTAATCATTTAAACATAATCACTTAATGAGATTACTCTTTACTGTCGATTCCTCAAAGTATATCCTAATATATTGAAGCAGAAAATGAAATTTAGTGAATGATCTTTTAATATTGTACATTTTTAATGGAGGTACCTGACGAGCTCTTTAATTGATGAACCTGGAAGGTTTTATGTGAAGATGTTTTTATTTTGCATGTGTCTGTTGCTAAATCATGTTGGAAAAGGGGTGGGGGGGAGGTTGTGTGTGAAGGCCAAAGGTCGATTAGTTCAAAGATGAAAATGTGAAGAAACTTTTTTCACTATGACCACTAGATCACTCACAGTTTGTTTCTCCTGATGAAATAAAGCACTTTAAGTGTAAAACTGCAGCAACTCTCCTTTTCCTTTCTTCATGTCACAAACTATAGACCTGCAGCGTCATCAAAAAACAATCAATATTGTTAAAAAGTTCAGTGTTTAGTATCAGGGAGGTGCCGAGCCCATGTTAATATCCGTACAATGTTGGCCAAAAAAAGTGGTATTGGATTTTATTGGTTGGCATCCCTCGGCTCCAATATTTCTATTCTGCAAATCACTGCTTTTGTTTAAAGTTTCTCTAACTAATTCTTGAGTTGTTTTCATTCCTTTTGTTCCCCGTTTCAGTAATATTACTTGATAAAACCTTTTCTAACATTCTACAGTATAAATTGATTCGTGCTAATTTTGTTTCGGTTCGATATCGGTAACCGCCAATTCTCAAAGCTATAATATCTTTGTGTTATCACAAATGAAGTTTTATCAGGTCACTGCTTTTTATTATCCTTGATTTCAGGAAGCGAAACTCATTATATAGATCTATTACACAGAGAAAGAAAAAATTTTAAACCATTACATTTTTTTTGCAGTTCCCTGATGATTGGTTTACAGGTAATACAACTCTAATACCCCATGACTCAAGATTTAGTTAGTTAAAAAAAAAATTCACTGCATGAATTTTTATAATTTCTCAAATTAAATATTCATGAGGAAGACTGCTGACTTGGCAGTCATTGAAGAACTCCAAAAGTAGTGTTAGCCACAGTAGGTCTTCCTAAAGTATTTCTTCATGGGGCCAAGGTGAGGATCAAGGAATAAAATGTTTGCAGAATAAAGTCAAAACATAATTTGAAATCAGGGTTGTAGAGACTTTAACAGTGGGTGGAACAGAATCCACTTTCCTTGAAGTGCAGAGCAAAGTTTCTGTAATTAGTTTGGACTTCAGAAAACCAAGTGGAAAAATCCTCAGTCAACACGGTCATCTACAACGTCTTTGTTGAATGTCTGCAGTTGTGACGTTAACTGGACTTTGTTGAAGGAGGTTAGTGTGGTCCAGTATGGTTCTCTTTTTATTCAGTTCAGTTTATTTTTATAGTGTCAATTCCCAACAAATGTCATCTCAAGGCACTTCACAGAGACAACACAGTCAGATTTGTAACATGTTTTTACTAAGGAAAAGCAGCTGATTGCTGGTCTTTGCCTCTACAGCAATCCCTCTGAATTATCAGTGGGGCTGCTGCCATTAACAGCTTTGAGTATAAATGGAGCATAGGCGGAAGTTCAACTGAAGAAACTGATTGCTCTCCTATATCCACCTATAAGAGCCAATCAGCTTTGAACCACACCTCCAAAAAAGCCAATCGGCATCCAAAGTTAAGCTTAAAAGGTCTCCGATCCACACTGTCTGCTCCTGTGTGCAGGCAGCGGATGCGCTGTGTGACTTTATTTAGATGACACCAATTCAACCCATCTCCAGCTCCTCCTCCATCATCACAGCTAAAGCTTCATCGGAGTGTCATTCCTCCCGGACTCTTACTGCGTTCCCTGTCTCATTCAATCGGTCCGGCATAAGACCGCCATGTTGAGCCTGGTGTGGCCAGAGGTTTCTTCCCAATGGGGAGTTTTTCCTCTCCACTGTCGCTTCATGCTTGCTCATCATGGACAGGTTCTCTCAACCTGTGTTATCTAACTGGACTTCCATCTTCCAGGTCTGCAAGAAAAGCTCTAGTATCAGCTCACGTACTCCACTGAGTCTCTCCATAAAGCTTAGCATACCGTCTCGATAACCAACAGTCTACAGACTGACCAACTTCATGTATCTCCACTCCACCACCAGTTTCAGGCCTGGGGGGAAACAGCCCTATTCTTTTCTCCTGTTCAAGCATATCTATTAAAATTAAGCGCTATGTTTCCTGCCGAGGTCTGAGCGCCAAAGATAAAGTATTGTATCAATAAATTTCTCCTTATTGTCATTTCATGCGAGTTTTTCAGATTGAAATAGAAGATGTGGGCGTTTTCTCTTTTTTGTCTTATTTCTCTCCTAGACATAGCTATGGCCTCAGCTTTTTACCGTCACTAACTGTATGTGCTCGCGTTTATCCTTTTGAGATGAAAACTGGCTCAGAGTTCATCTGCTTAACTGTTTCCCATAGAGAGCCCCACGGTGAGGTAGTTTACCGTTACCTTTTCTGACATAGAAACAATTTATGGATCAAAGCTTCTACGTTTGTTTTATACCTTTTGTTTGTTTGTTCCCTATTCACTCTCTTATGAGGCATTTAGCCGCCATGGGCTTGCCCATGGAATTGTTTTAAACCTGTTTTTATTCTGCTATCTATCCCGATGATATATATGCTCCATGCAGGATTCAATCCCAGGTCTCCTGTATGGTAGTCCGACTCTAGCAACTTAACCATGCAGCTGATGCATGACAAATGAGCTTTCTTTGTAGGGTGGCCAGGCACACCCTTGGAGGCAAGGTGAAGAGCTTGGCCATCCGGGAGTCTCAGAACGGCTTCTACTTCACATTGAGAGGAGACAGCTGAGGTGGATGAGACATCTGTTCTGGATGCACCTTGGATGCATCCTTTGGGAGATGTTTCAGGCACATCCTAAGCCCAAGGGAGGGGCCAGGACATGCTGGAAGGACTTTGTCTCTTGGCTGGCCTTGGAATGCCTTAGGGTTTCTGCAGAGGAACGGTAGACCTGAGACGGAGGCAATGGTTCACCTGCAAGATGGAGACTCATACAGAGCTACAATGTTTTAAATAAATGCATACTTATCCATTAGAATGGCCTAGTTCAAGTCCAAATCTAACTGATAATCTGTGGTTAGTATTAGAGAGAAATTTAATAAATGGATGACTACAACCAAACTTTGGTTTGCAGGCATTAGTTGGTCAATCAGCTTTGAGATTATGTTAAATGTCCCTCTTTCCCCTGAAAGAAATTTTATTTTGAAAGAGTACCGTATCAATAATGTGTAGAACATAAGTGGTACATTATTTCTCTGGTTTGCCAGATTAGTTTTGACCAGTCTCTTCTTAACAGTATATGTTCCAAAGCTTTATATTTTAGATAATTGTCAAACATGCCTGTACATTTTTGAACAAAGATGTTATATACACCAATAAAACATTACATAAAGCAGCAGAGATGTTGGCAGCATTGTTAGATAACAGTTTTATTGTTCACAGGGGTTGGACACACGGCCAATGAACAGCAGCGTGTTGAGAGTTGACTCTCTGATGATCACCAGGAATGGATGGTCCGCTTCAAAAAACTCGCGGTTTAGGTTCAAGGAGCGTCCGACGGCGACGACAGCTGTGGAGGCAGCAGCTTCACTTCCCTCCTCGTTTACCTGAACACACACACACACAAGTCTTATGTTGCGATTCCGGCTTCCAGAGGTATTTTTCGTAAAACCCGTTCTAAAAAGCCAATCTTTAACTCCCAAATGCAAGACCCATTGAACTAGTCAGTATTTCCGTGTACATATGCAAACCATGCAATCATTCACAAAGTTCATTACTAAACCATGGCTAAACATGTTCGGGACACTCATTTCACAAGTAGAAAGCTATTGGGAGTTAAAATTTTTAATTAAAAAAAGGGAAATATGGATACCATGGCTTCCATATTTCCCATTTATTGATGGTCCAATAAAACCAGGTAGGAGATGAATAATTCTTTGAAACCTTGTCACCTTTTTATTAAGACATTTTTTCCATTCACATCTCCATATTAATGTAATATTTAACCAGTGTTGATTTTGATACTGTTTTGAATAAGTGTTTGCCTAATTACTTTGATGAAAATGTAATTGATTGTACAATTTAGTCAAATTGTTCTTCCGCATTTTATTCCCTGTGTCCTGAACAGATTTTCATTTAGTCAGATCTTAGTCTGCAAGAATCTTGGTTGGTCTTGGATGTTGGACGATGAAATTAATTCTTTTTTCTTTCAGTAAAACCAGCATTGAGATATGTCTTTTATAGGGCAAAGTATTTTTCATAAGACGATAAAACAAAACATTCTGATATTTCCATATTTGTGTATAGATTTGCTTAAGTAAAAAAAAAAATCTATTTTATTGCATGAAATTCTTTTCATTAAATGCAGCTCATGACTCAATGCTATTTTTTTAATGCATCATGCATTTAGACCAAATAATAGGGGGGAACAATAAGTGACCCTTTCTGTCATGTATGGACTAGTGCTGGATTCATTTAAGCTGCATACATACAGACAGTTACAATTATTAGCAATGAAAAAGATAACAAAGAAAAAAAAAAAACTAGTCTAATCTCAAAGAGCAAATGATAAAAAAGTATGCACAGTGGAATTTCTTTTACAATATAATGGACTCCAGCTTATTTATGCAACAATATGCAGTATCCATGATAGTGCAATAGCATCCTTAATTAGCTAAGGTGTGTGCAAGCTATCTTAGAACCTGGGAAGAAAGTGTAAACCATAAACATGTCAACAGCTATTGACTGAGCAGCAGAGAATATGAAGTCTGAACGCAGCTGGGAGAAACGACCTGTGGAAGTGTTCCTATGAGCATCTGTGAGGCAGCAGTCTATCACTAAAAGAGCTGTCCAGCTCTGCAACACCTCCATGCATGGGGTGGGAAACATGTCCATCAGTGATGCATCTCCTTACTGTCAAGCAGATGCATAGTTTGAATTTAGTCCCATCAGAATATCTCATGTCTATAAGGAGACTTGGGCTAGGTGAAGGTGCGTCAGCAGCCGCCTTAATAAGAGCTGTCCAAAGAGTGCTGGAAGTTAGGAAAGAGCTAGGAGTAAGAAGGTGTATTCTTCCTATATCCATTGCAGTTAGCAGTTAATATGCCATATACTGTATAGCTCCTAACAGTGGCTAGGGGCTATATGCTTGCCCACAATACTTTACGTGTATGTGTACTTGTGTGATACATGCAAATGTACACATCTTCATATGTTTTGGGTTTTATAAAGCGAAAAAGATTAGTGTGATGTTCTTTTTTGGCAATTATTTTCCAGAAGGCTGTAGTCCTATTTTGACAAGCATTGTTTATGTCTGTCAGGCAATGACGGCTCTAAGACTGTAAGCTGGATTCAGCACAGCAGTCCGAAGCTCCTTTCCCACCCTGGATAGGATTCTTACTTTTGACACCACAAAAGATGATGGGATAGGAGGTAGGAACAGGAGGTAGGAGCTACAGTTTGAGTTTTTCCGGAAAGAGTCTTAGTGGGCTTGAAACCTGATCCTGACCAAAGTTCACTGGGTCAATTGATATCGCAACTCAAAGCAAGCCAGCGCTTATAAATTCCAAATAGCAAAAACAACATAAGAAAGACTTAGTCTGCCAACCAAGCCTGGCTTCCGAACTTCCAATTTTATGAAATAATAGTGGGTGTCTTCCTTACTTCCAACCCAAGCTTTTAAAGTAATCTGCTGTCAGAAGTTGAACTCTTATCTGACAAAACGAAACTAACCAATCAGGAATTCAGTCAGATATGTTTGAACACCCACCATGTAAAGGGGGGTTGTCGGCAGACTGTGTTACCAACATGTTGTTTCAGTGAGAACAAATAAAAAAACATGAACCCTGTGTGACTGACCTCCAGGAAGGCTTTGTGGTAGGCGTCAGAGATAAAGAGGGATTCGCTGCCGTCCTCCAGGATTCCTGAAACACACCAGCAATAATGCACTTAAGGAGCAATCATGGGACTTCATACCAAATGTTAACACTTGAGCAACTGACAGCTGCCTTTCACTTGAAAGTAGAGTTTAATGTCTAATCTGGGAAGCAACTGTAAAAAAAAAAATAATAATAAAAAAAAAAAAAATATATATATATATATATATATATATATATATAAATATAAATTTATTTTTTTTTTTTCATTAAACCCTCCAAATTTTTTTCATTTTAAGATAGAGGACAGCACTATTCCATCTAAAAGAGACAAAAAATAAAAATGTATTCTAACCATATGGCATTATGTGTAAAAACCTTTGAATAAGTAGATTTAACCAAAAATTTGGAATATAAATAAAAAAAAATGTAATGTAGCAATGTAACTATGGTGATTAAATAATTACAAAATAAATGATTACCCTCACATCAGAAATTGGTTGTTTGTGTGTGTGTGTGTGTATATATATATATATATATATATATATATATATATATATATATATATATACATACACACATACACACACACACTTGTGTTGTGTGTGTGGTCTGTACAATGTATTTTATAAAATATCCTAATTGTGGGAACTTGCAGGTACATATGGGGCTAAGGTTTAAATTCATTCATTTTAGGTTAGGGTAAGGGTCTGATTTAGGGCATATAAAATGAATGCATGCCAATGAAATGTCCCCATATGTCATGAAAACAAAGCTTTGTGAGTGTGTGTTTTAATGTCTATTTGGTTTAAAGAATCAAGCAGCTGATTCTGGTTCTAAGCACCTGGCAGGCTGGCCTTGTCTGCGTTGAACAGGTCAGTCAGGCCCATCTGCTGCAGCTTCTCCTTAAGACTGAAGCTGTCCTCCACCCTGAAGCGAGGCATGGAGACGGAGACGCTGGTTTCTCTCATCTGGTCCAACCAGCTGTTGAGCTTGTTCTGGTCCAGCTGTGCCTCAACCTGTTGGTTGAACCACACAGAGAGGAGATTTTCTGTAGTGTTCTCAGGGTATTTTAATAATCCTTAGGGATATCTATTTGGTGCACAGAGCATCTCTGATAATATCTGCTTTCTACTGCATTACACCAACACATTTGCTCAGAATTTTAGGTTTAGCCAAAAATAATTCCTCTTAAGGTGATATCTTAGAATCTCCAAAATATATTTTAAGGTCTTAAAGATGTTTTTTTTTTTCAGAACTGGTTTCATAAAAATCAAAATTTCTAAAATAAAAAGGGTCTTATTTTTGTAATTTAGAAACCTTTAAATACAACTGATTTTGATAACATTGAAATATGGTAAACCCTGTGAATGAGCCTGTGTGTTATTCAGTAGAATTAGTTTGAAACTTTGAATGTAAAAACAGCTTCAGTCATGAAATAATGAATTCACAACGAAAAATAAGAAAAATTAAAGTTGTCCATATTGGCTGTCCTGATACAAATCTCATATTACCCTTAACCTGCTTCTTAATTGGCTGATCAGCCCTTTTCTGGGACACTTTACTGGAGACTGAAAATACTTGATTTCTGAGTTATTTGAAAAGAATCAGTGAATACAATAAAAAACCTTCCTTGATTCAGTCATATGCGGGGCAGATCACCCTGTCAGACTCAGTAGCATGAATCTTTGTGTTTGTACCATTCACACTTTGCTGGGTAACCAGCTCAGTTCCATGTCTTAATCAGAATGCAGCACTACCATGGCCTACCGTTCCGATTAAGAACATAATATGGATTACCGGCCTATGTTGTGCTGATGAAAGCTGCCTTGGTTTGGTCCCTACTGGGGTGATCTCTGGCCTACTCTGGGCACCATTGGCGCCTTCGTGGGCGCTGGGGCCATTGAACTAGTGAGGATCCTTTATACATCATCCTGCAGATGGAGGGAGGATGGGGGAGGGCGGAGCTGTTCAAGCAACTCAACCCGAGTGTCCTAGTCTTACTGTATATGTTCTTGAAGCTGGGTAAATGCAAGGGGAATTTAAATGGAAAAGGGCCTGTACTTATATAGCACTTTTTCAAGTCAGGAGACTGAACCAAAGTGTTTTACACTACATTCAGTCATTCGCCCATTCATGCACACACTAACTGTGGCAGGCTACATTATCCTGGGGGTCAATGATAGAAGCAAGGCTACCATACACAAGCGCCACTGGGCCTTCTGACCACCATCAGTAGGCAATGCAAGTGAAGTGGAATAGACAATGCGGGTTGTGCATGATAATCCTCTGGTTGCAGGGTAAACTCCATCCTGTTGCCACTTAAATCAAAGTTCTAAGTGCTAACTAGTGCTAAAGGCTAATTTCCCAATACGGATTTTATAAAGGCACTAAATTAAAAATGCAACTATAGAAAACGTAATTCTGAGATATGTGAAATATATCCTTTTCAATGACACTTATTAATTTCAAATAAAAACCTCAATATATTCTATTAAGATCTAAATTACATAATAGTTGCAACTTTAACATTTAAGCACATTAATTCATATTATTATTAATCAATAATTAATGGATCAGTTATTTTAAAGCTTGACTTCCAACCTCTCTCTCATATTATTATAATTTTTTTGGCAATTGAGGATGAAATCAGCTAATGACTGTGATTTACCTTTGCAACCCAGCAGTGGGAGCAGTGGGCTGCCATTGTGTGGCGCCCAGGGAGCAGTGTGGGGTTAAGGGTCTTCCTCAGGGATCCAGAGGGCAGGCTGTTGGGATCCGGATACTTGGAACCTTCACGGAGAACAAGCGCTCTGCTCTAACCCACTTGGCCAACACTCCAACTTTTTCTACTTATAATTTATGTAACCTTTGGCTTGCAAACATACAAGGTTTCTCCCACATAGCCTTATATCAGACATTTTTTTAAATGGTATACCACCACCTGTACATCTGAAGAATGCTACCAAATGATTTACTATTCGGAAACAAAAAGAGGAGAAGGTATTGGAAAAGAAAGGCATGGAGGCAGTGAGCAGGACTACCTGACTGAGTGGATGGCCTCTGCTCGGCAAGATGAGCACCATGGTGATGTCTTCCCCTCTGTATGGCATCTCCAGCAGCTGCACCTTCTCATCGGGCAGATTCTTGTAGTTGAACTTGATCTCCTGGTACATCATGTTGGCCTGGCAGGTGCGACTCTCGTCTATGTAGAAATTTGAGGCAACCAAGTTTTCTTTGGGAAACTTGTTTTTCCACTGACCCTGAGAAGCAGAAATGAAATGTTACGGAAATTCCGTGAACACTTATTTTTAAAAAGAAAAAAAACTCAATTTCTACTTTTAATGCATTAGATCATCGTTGTGTGTTAATGATGTCTTGATTTTTATTTTATTTTTCACCAACCTTGAAGTAGATGGTGTTGACAAGGACCAAAGCTGTGTTGGAGTCTAAAGCCCCTGATGGCAATGTGTCCCTTATCCTGTTCTCTGTCTTGTTGGAGATCCAATCGTTGATGGTGATCCGAGCAGCCTCTGGGTTTGACTACCAATGAGAGGAACCGTTAAAGGTATGGCTCCAGTTCCCAAAAAAAGTTCAAAAACAATCCACTGGACTTTGTTTCCAAGTTTGAAGATGTTTCGCTTCCCATCCAGGAAGCTTTTTCCAATTCAAAATGTCAGAAATAGCGTTGAGTTCAATGCTTTATACAGTAGCCTAACAAAACCTTGTTTAGCTTAGAAAACATGCAAATTGAAACGGCTGAAGGGGTCCACCCCGCTGGAATGGGGGTCTTTTGGCTTCTTTGTTAGCCTGCAATACCCCATACCTGTCTATGTCTCTGAAAGGGGGGTCGTTAAAGGGAATTGTTGGCCTGGCTGAATAGGCAGAGTCTTCTGTTCCCTTGTAAGGGGGTGGGGGTTATGATGATAGTGGGAAGGAATCAACTAATTTGCTGCATTGTAGGTTTTTTAAAGCTGAAATCTGCATCCACTCCCCTGTTTAAGGTTGGTTAAGAAAGAAAAACCAATGCTTTAACACTGCGTGTCATATATACTAACATTCTGGTCAACAGTTGGTTATGCATGGTTATACATGACTAGAAAAGTCGAAAAGTCAGAACCAGAAGAGCAGAGAAACCTTAATAAAACTCCCCTCTCAATATTGGGTCGGTTTTGAATATCTGAACTTTTTTTAAGTCAGTTTAAAATCTAAAATGTCTCACATTAAAGCTATATGTCTGGGAATGCCAAATATTGGTGACTGTATTTGTGATTTCTGTACACCTGTAAAGAGAAGCAGAGTTTATAGGGAGTCCTACAATAGACCTTGATCCCTCCAGGTCGCTGCACAGCCCTGAAATTCTCTGATGTAGCCCTGACTAAAAAAAAGTTCTACACAAAATAATGGCTGAGTATTTTTTTAAGAGTTAACAGCATGTGCCACAAATACAGGATTTTTTTTTTTTTTTTTTTAGCTCAACTCCGAGTTGACCAAATGATATTTTGAGCAATCAATATTGCTGTCTCAGCTAGAATTGAGCTCCAGGCCCAACCTGAGAGCTATAGGTCTGATTGTTTGACATTACAGGTTAATACAAATAGAAATAAAAGGAAGCATAATATACTATAATGTCGCTGACTCAATAAAAATCTTTCAATTAATTATCAGCGTTTTATAGTGTAAAGTTTTAGACATTATTCAATTAATGAAGATGCCAATTCATAAGTACTGAAGCACTTTTCTTACCATTCCCACCATTCATTCTGATTTTTTCTGAATCAACTCTGTAGTTATGCTGCTATACAACATGCTCCCACAGAGTGGAGCATACTTCATCATATTCTGCTTTTTTATTACTTAATACAAATTTAAAGCAGTAGCTCCAACAGTACCATTCAGAATTTCTTTTTTTTATGCTTTCATTGAATACAAACTCAAATTTGTTTGAAAATCCAACTTGAGTTTTTAATCTGCTTCATCATGTTTAAGGTTATTTCCACAAGTTATTTTTAAGCTACCGTAGATATTTTGAAATGTATTTTAAATGTAAAATGTTTAATATACATCATTACCTTGAAGTTGAGAGGCATCAGTTTGGCCCCATACACAGTCTCGCTAATGTTCTGGTATGTCTCGTTAAAATAGAGGGATTTGTCGCCAAACAGGCGGTTTGCAGAGACCAGCAGCGTGGTCTTGTCTTTCTTTCTGTACAAACGGCAGTTTAGTTTGGCAAAGAAGAAATGGATCATATCTGACGTCTTCTCCTTGATGGTATGAAACTCAAATACCTATAAAAGAAAAACAAACAGAAAGAAAAAGTCACTTACTAACAATTTTTACTTTTTACTTTTGGCTGCAGAGCAAAAATTGGCCTGAAAAACCTGCCTTTTCTTTTAGGTAGATGTAAGTGTCCCATTATTAAATTCACTTTGGACCACTTCCTTAAACCAATGCTGGCCCCACAAAACCAAACTAAAGTTCAATTATTTGAATGTACAAACATGATCTCTCACATAAACCCACTTCCACAGATCTGTGGTACATAACTTTTTACTGGCTGAGGTTTCCTTTTGTTTTATTCAGGTTTTCTGAACTCTAGAGAGATTGGAATTAGAAGGCATTTAGTCTACATCTAAAAACAAAAAATGCATCTTATTTTATTTTTCCAATTAATAAAAAATGTCATGTCAGTCACTTCACTTCCTCTTTGAGCAGAAATTGTTGCCGTTAATTTTTTCCTTCAACAACAGCTCTTAAAAGTTTTGATACTCTTAAATCTTTACATATAATAACACATTAAAACCACAAACTTTATTGTATTTAATAGGAATTTTAATTTTAGACCAACAGAAAGCTGTGATTTTTTTGTAAACGGGAAGGGAAATGTAGTTTTCAAACTATAAGCAAATAAAAATGATAAAAGGGATTTATGTATTGGCATTTAGACCCTTAAGTCAGTATAGTACTCTGTTTAGTGATATTTGCCATTTTACCCTGCTATCGTTTTACTGGACTGTCCTTTTTCGGCATGTCTCTAACAAATCTTTCTACAAATCAAGTTCTGACAGGCTGGATGGAGAATTTCTATGATTATGAATTCCAGGGTTTGGCCTCAGATTATAAGACAGACTTTGACTAGGCCATTTTATCACATGAATATGGTTGGTTGGTTATTTAGGGTGGTTAACCTGCTGCAAAGTCTCAAGTATTCTGCAGCCTCAAAGAGGTTCTTCTAGGATTCTCTTTTATTTTGCCCCATCCATTCTCCCTTTAATGCTGACTAGTTTCCCTTTGACTACTGGAGGTCTTCCCCACATCATGATGCTGCTGCCACTTTGTTCCATTGCTCCCAGTTGATGACTCCAGCCTGCACCATCTGTTCTCTTTCTCGCTACCAAAACAAATTCCATGATGCTTTGCAAGAGGAGTTCTTGCAAAGCATTCTGTTGCACACTACTTTTCAAGGGAAATTTTGAGTCCACTACTTTTTTATCCACTAGACATTTGGACAAATTGTGTAACCCCTATATAGTGCTCTATATAGTGGGTAGGGTGGACATTTGGACACAGCTTAAGAATATGTATTATTTTCCTTCCACTTCACAGTTATAAGTTACTCTTTGTTAATCTATAGTGAAAAACATAAGGCCTATCAAATAATTCAAAGCGTGTAAACAGCTTTGCAGAGCACTGAATAGAATATAACTTTTTTTCAAGCCCAATTTTTTTAAGCCAGGTTTTAAGAGATTTCCAACCTTCATTATCTGCTCCAGTGTCCGGTTGCAGGCACCCAGTTTGGTCATGGCGAATGCAGTGGAGATGCTGAGGGGAGACATGAAGATGTTGTTTTCAGGGGTCCTGCTGAGCGCCATTTGTTTGTAGAGGGACAGCGCAAAGCGGCTGTTGGCCTTAGACAGCTCCCATACTCTGGGGTTGACTGGCCGTGGTTCTGGGGTTGGTTCGTCGGACTCTTCTGGGTCAGGACTGCGGTAGACGCAGCGTGGCTCCAAGAGGAGGTCTTTGGGTCGGGAGTTACAGATGTCCAGGTTCTGAGCAGTGGACAGTAAAGGCAGGAATGCCAAAATCAACAAGTAGTCAGAAGTCCTCATCCTGGATGGAGGAGAAGGTATCTGATTTTAATTGCTTTATAAAAATAGAGCATTTAAGAATCAGTGAAGGCATTTTGGCTTAAATACATATAAACAAAATTGTTGGTACCCATCGTTTAATGAAAGGAAAACTAATAAGTCTATGAAAATGAACAAATGAAATTCATATATCGCATTTCAACTAGGCTTCAACAGAATGATCTTAAAAAAAAAAAAAAAAACATGAAACAGGCCTAGACAAAAATGATGGTTCCCTTAGCTTAATATTTTTTCACACAAACTTTTGCCAATTACAGCAATTAAATGATTTCTGTTACTGTCAATGAGATTCTGCTCCCCTCAGCAGGTAAACTGCTCCAGTTTTCTCAGCTTTGAAGGTTGCCTTTTCTAGACAGCATGTTTTAGCTCTTTTCAAAGAGCTCTATAGGAAATAGGGCAGGGCTCTTAGAAGACCACTTCAGAATAGTCAATCTTTCCTCTTTGCCATTCTTGGGTTGTTTCCAGCTGTGTGTTTTGGTTCATCATCCTGTTGATGATGATCCTGTTGACTAAGCTTTGTGACACTGGACATCACATTTCTCTCTAGAATCCTTGATCGTCTTTTTTTTTTTTTTTAGATTCAACACCCTTTTCCAGATTAAGCCAAGCAGCCCCAGAACAGAACAGCCTCCTCCATGTTTCACAGTAGGGACAGTGATCTCTCCTAGATATGCTTCAATTTTCCTTCTGTGAACATAGAGCTGATGGGCCTTGACAAAAAGTTCATTTTTTTCTCTCACATATCCATAGGACATTCTCCCAGAAGCTTTTTGGTCTGTCAACATGCAGTTTGTAGTTTGTCGAAGTCCTGTCTTGCTTTTTATTATTTGTTTCCAACAATGGTGTCCTACCTGAATGTCTCCCATTAAGTCAACTTTGGCTCCAACAATGACGGATCGTGCGATCTGACGCTGATGTTCTGGAGCTTGAAGTTCACTTTCAATTTATTAAGAAGTTTTTTGTTTTTATTTTTTTTTTTGTTACCATTCATATTATCCTTCTCTGTCATCAATTTTCCTTTTGTGGCCACGTCAAGAGAGTTTGGCTTCCTTCCTCTGGGTCTTAAATTACGTTATAATATGTGCAGCTGTAGTAACAGGAACATCAAGCTGCTTGGATGGTCATACATCCTTTGCCTTTGTGAAAGACAGGAAAGGTTTGACCTCTGTAATTGCAAACAAAGGCTACTCTACCAAATATTAACATGGATTTTCTCAGGCGTTCAAATATTTATTTGCAGTTGTATCATACAAATAGTTTTTAAAAAAAATCGTACAATGTGATTTCTGGATTTTTTTAAAGAAATTGTCATCATAGGTGTCAATGATGACAATTTCAGACCCCTCCATGATTTCTAAGTGGGAGGACTTGCAAACTAGCTGGGTGTTCAAATACTTTTTCCTCACTGTACATATTGGCCCACTGACTGATTACAAGATTAAACAAAAGGATGAGAGTCAGTTGACACCCCTTGATTTAATATGGTCACATTATCTTCCGTCTTCTCTAGAGGCACCATTTTTTTTCAGCCTTGTTTCATTAGTTTATTTTTAAAAAATGTTTATATATTGATGCATGGTTGAGAAGCAATGTCTCGCATTCATTTGCTCAATTTCATAGAATTATTATTTAGTATTACTTTTCTCATATTTGTGACCAATGTAGGTTTTTTTGTACATTAAACGAGAGGTATCAACGATTCCAACAAGTCCACATGTGTACCTCAAATATTAGATATTTAATATCAACAGAAAATGAGATAAAATATTGGTAAGCATTATTAAATAAATTGAAATTTTCTACCCAATAAATAACAAATTAACTGCAGTTATCAACATTCTTGGTTTCACTTTCACAAGCAATACAGAAGCCCAATCACTGAATAACCTGTGAATAAAAATAAAACACTTAGAAACTGTCTGCCAGCATGAAGTAGGCTTAAAGATGAAAAACAGAAACAAGAAATTATCTCCCAGTCTAAAAAGAAAAAGATAGGAAACTAAATCAATAAAATAAAGTTTGGGTTTTTGATGCTTTTGAACCACACTCAGTGAGAACCATCATCTACACATGGAGAAAGAATTGAACCTTCCAGGTGTTTCAATCATCCAGAGGTCACACAGCATCTAAAACAGAAGTCTTCTTCAGTGACGCACTGATGCATCCTCGTTGCCCTACAGAACGTTATCACAGATTCTCCCTCCCAGTAGCTGTTAAGCTATAATAGCATAGTTTTTTTTATTAATATCTAGGAAGTCGTTTGTTGTTTTTCGTGCAAATATACAGAAAGTCTAAAACATGCACATATTGTGCTTTTTCAAAAAAATCTACATAAGTACAGGATTGTTCATGAAATTACGGTGTAACTTTTCTTATGCTGTAAATTTTCTCTCACTGTACAACCTTGTATTGTTATTTATGTGTTTAATTTTTTACCCTCATGTGAATCTGCATGCTTCTGTTTGCCTTTAAGTACACTGAATTTGCCCCCTAATGGAGGATAAAGGATATTTCTATTATGTCCTATCATGCTCTGCTGTTTTTGTTCTATAGCTCTGCAGGCCTCATGTCTTTCAGTTACTGTCTAAGTTCAACAATAAGAAAGAGATATGGGCAGCTCCAATGGCAGAACTACTTCTAACCCATAGAATAATAGGACCCATTTAACATTTAACACATTCATATTTTCCACAATTTTGGTAAAACATGCATTCGACCGATGAGACTAAAGTTTAACCTTCTGTAAGATTCTGACACTAGAAATTCAGAAGACAACCACATATTTCAAACATGGTCGCCTTCTCCGCCTCTTCAGGACCTGGGAAACTTACCACAATTAATGCCACAGTGAAATATTTTATCTAACAAAAATGCGAAAGGATAATGACTTGCTGTCATTTCATGACTTTAAGCTCAAGCTCCCATGATCCAAAACACCAATCCAAAATAACCAGAAAATCATGAAGGTTTGAAGCGCCCTGGTTTAGGTCTGACCCCTTGATGTTAAAAAAAACAACAACAAAAAACACTCAATTGTGACTCAATTAAAACAATTCTGCCAAGAATCAATGCAGAAAGAAAATTCCCTACATAAAACTGATGTTTTGTCTTGAGTCTGGTTTTCTTTTAAGCATGACAACAAATATTAGCTTGATGCATTGATGCATTTATGTTTCCGTCTTTAAATAATTTACATGTTTTAGATATCTATATCTAAAATTTCACTTTTCAATTTATTATGAAACAGTTTTCAGCACCAAACCATCAGAGGAGAAAAACACTTTTCTCTGATTATTGATCCAAATACTCAAGTTAAATAGAATGATTGTGGATATTGATTGAACGTGGATAAACCTCTCAGAACAACAAGGCTGAAGTTCAAGTTATCAGATTGCAACATGTTTCTGCATCAAACACCTCTACTTAATACCCAGCCATGTATTTTAATGACAGAACAAGAAAAATGGAAATAAAACATTGGAATTTACCTGGGAAGGTAGAGCTGTGAGGGTTTAGGCATGGAGATGTCCTCAGTCTGTACTGATTTCAGGTCAGCGTCCTACAGAGCAAAAAATCCAAAACAACCTTTGAAACATCGACCCGCTTCTTGTCAACAACTGAGAGGAACGTCTGCTGCTGTCAACAAGATGACTAGCTGGCCTCCACAGCTGATCAATACCTGCACAGCTCAGAGAGGCTCCAAACCCCCACACTGGAGCACAAACATCCCTGGAGAAAAAATAAAAGAATCCTTCTATTTTCATTTTTACTTAAACTCTTGAGTTGCTTCCAGTTTCAAATTTTAACAAAAAGGTTTTCTTTTTTCGTTTTTACGGCACTAGTGGCTCTTTGTTCTGACAGTACTGTAGGCCTACAGGAAAGGGTGTGTGAGAGAGGGGGAGAGACAAGCGACAAAGGCCCACAGACCAAATTCAAACCCAGGTCGCCCGCGTCGAGGACTAAGGCCTCCATACATGGGTCGTACGCGCTAACAACTGCACCACCTGCACGCCAATAAATGTATAGTGTTTAGAGCTGTTTAAGCATTATTTCCATTTTAAATTTAAAGGGAAACGGAATTTTTGATTTTAAAATGTATTGGATTATAAACGGATTTCAGTTCAGTTTATTTATATAGCTCCAATTCACAACAAATGTCACTTTACAGAGACAATTCAATCAGATTTGCATAAGAATTGGTTTAAAGTTTCTATCTAAGGTGATTGGATTGCTTTCTTTCGAGGCCGACTGGGGGTTAAAGGAGACAGAAGCAGATATACAAAACGAAGTACCGTAGAAACACAGATCTGTCAACACTTTCGTTATCTGAAAAGGTAATAGTAAACTAGCTCCTGTGTAAGAAACAGTTGAGCAGATGAGCTTGTTTTCATGTTAAAGGGATGAAAGAGAGCACATAAAGTTAGTTGCAGTAAAAGCAGAGCCCTTAGCTGTGTCTAGGAGAGAAACAGGTCCAAATCTGTTATCTATATTCTAAGGCAGGCATCCCCAACCTCGGTCCTCGAGGCCCACTGTCCTGCAGGTTTCCCTGCTTTAGCACAGCTGATTATAATGATTGCAGTAGACCAAAAGCCTGTTAATCAGCTTTCAATTAAAATCAGCTGTGCTAGAGCAAGGAAACCTCTAAAACCTGCAGGACAGCGGGCCTCGAGGACCGAGGTTGGGGATGCCTGATCTAAGGTGTTGATAGCAGCCCAGATGATGGTTCTCTTTAAGATGGAATCACAGCCAAAATATGATCAGACCAGATGAAACACCTATGACAGGAAAAGCATAGAGAACATAAAGTTAAAGAATCAGTTAACAAATACTGCAGAATGGGGGAATAGAGAGAGAATTAAGCAGAATGATGAAAAGGGGTTTCTATGTTCTCCAGCAGTCTAAGCCTATAGCAGCATAACTATAGAGATAGCTCGGGATAACCTGAGCCACTCTAACTATAATCTTTATCAAAGAGCGTCTGCCTCGTGGACTAAAACTGGTAGATGGTTTCACAGGAGAGTCCGGCCTTTAATGAACAAATACATGGACTAGCTTCTCAGCATCACTTCTTGACAAGATTTCTCATTTCTAATTTTAGAAATCTTTTTGATATGGAATTTGACATATCATTGTCATCCATTTAATTAGATGGATGACAATGTTGAAAGGATTGCTTGACATGTACTTCTGACAAATTTCCGTGTAGAATTCAAAGATTTTCATGAGCATTAATATAGCAAAATAGAATTTTTGCCTTAAAATAGGAAAATGTCTTAAGCATTCTAAATTTGCATAAAGAATAGTGATACAGATAAATAAAAACAGTAAAAATACAACCAGCGTTTAAATCAACATATTTTACTGAGACATGTTAGATAGTTCATAGATATAAGCATAATTTCATTTGTATGGATCATATTTAGAGCCTTGCTCAGACATTTGAAACTGATTCTACTTTGCTATTCTTATTTTTACAAATAAATGTTTTCAACATGTTTTTTCTGTGCTTTTGGGGGAATGTACACTTTAATTATGTCTCATCTGCAGATAGTCACTGAATATTTGTCAAGTTACTTAAAGTTATGAAGAAAAGCTTTCTAACTACAGAGGTTACTAATGAGTTTGTGAAAAGGAAAAAATATTTTATATCTGAGAATAAACAAATGAAGAAAGAGGTACCCATGATGTCTGTACAGTAGTTAAAACAGTAGAAACTTGTTTCAGGTTGTTTTATATGTAAACTCGTATTTCCCCCTAGTGTTTGAAGCGATAATTCTGTTTTCAAATGTTTCCAAATTTGCAAAAAAAAGTTTCAAAAATAGTATCTATTCTTTCCATTAAATCATTCAAATGAGTCATAGTTACATACAGTGTAATTTGATATATAAAATTTTGATATATACATAACTTTTTGTTTGTTTTTAGTCTAAACTCCCTGATAGGTATTGTCGAAATGTTTTTCGAAAAATTTAACAAAAGTTGACTGAACTCTGGCAACTTATTTTGTGGTTGTCAATATTCAGATAACTGAACATTTGCAGCAGGCATTTCGTTTTGGTCCTCTGCAAACCTTGGTGGGGATATTTCTGTGGCAATTCCTGTGGGTAAAAAAACCCAGAAATTGTACAAAGTAAAAGTAACACTACTTAATTAGATTTATACTGAAGCAAAAGTAAAAAGTAGATACTACTGAAGTGGGAGTAAAAAGGTATTTGGTAAAAAGGCTAGTACCCAGTAACTGATCCACTGACTATCAGTGATCATAACAACTGATTTAATATTTTATTGAGCTACAAAACTTACTAAATCAATAGTTAGAGTATGTAGAGTATGTTAAACTAGTATACTGTGTTCTGTATTATCTCTCTACCTCCAAACCACATGACATACTAAGCAGTTAAAAAATAATATTTAACTTACCTGTAGTAAAAAAAAAAAAGAAGAAAGTGTGTCTCTCAATTGTGCATATTTGTTCCAAAACAAGGTTATTTTTCCACTCAGAATGGATGGAGTTGCCAGAGATCTTACTCAAGTAAGAGTAGTGATACTTAAAAATATTTTTTACCAAGTAAAATAAAAAGCACAATGCTGTAAATGTAAATGTCCTAAAAGTATTTATTTTTCAGAAAAGTAACTCAAGTAAATGTAACTAGTTACTACCCACCTCTGAATTTAAGGTATCCACATAACATAAACATGCACACACCAAGATCTTTAGAATCTCTAGAAATAGGCATGTATGATACAATAAGAGCATGTATGTCAGCAAAAACAAAAGCATGCAAATTTCCTACACAAGCATCCTTCGATAAAGGATAGATTGTCCAGGGTGCAGCAGTGTTTTTGTTTGCAGTGATGGGAGTTAAACAGTCTGAAGGCCTAAGGAACAGAAGAAATCTGAAACCTTTTAGTGGAACAGGACAGCAGTGTGCATCTGAATGTACTCCTCTGCCTAGTGAATGTACTATGCAGAGGGTAATGGATACTATCCAGAATACTCAGTTTATTGAGGGTCAAGGTATCAAGCATGAGTAGGCTTACTTCACTCATTGTTTCATGAATATTTATTACCAAATGCATTTTATTGTGAACTAATATACAGTTTAACAGAGTACTAAGGGCAAGTCTTCTTCTATAATTTCACTGATTAACACATAACATACCTTAGTGGTAACTTTAATGGCCAACAGGTGCTGGCATTAAGGAAAAAACCTTTATTAATTAATTCATAAGAGCTCATAAACACTGTTTACTGGATCCGAAGTGCCCTAAAGGGACGTTACAGCAGATCCTTCCTCCTGGCATCTGTTAAGATTTTTGCTTGTTCCGAAAGCCACTGAAAAAATGAGCAAATGATTGAGCAGGTTGTTGCTACTTTAATCAACTATATAATTTTTTTTCTTAATTTCCAGCATTGCTTTATACTTAATGTAGCATCCATGGCTTTCAACAATATTAATGTTAATATCCCTGTTTTCGCTTTTTTTTTTTATTTTTTTACTTGAATGAGTAGCCGATGCTTTTATTTACTGCTTTTTTTCTTAAACTGAAATTTTCCCTGAAAATTCTGAATTTCCCTCTGAAGACGTGAAAAAAAATTATATTCTTTTTTATCTGAGAAAACAAGTAAAATATTTTCAACAACAAAAAAAATCCCTCTTAAATCCGTACATGGGGATTACTTTTAAAATATAATTTTAACACAAATGCCAATAGCTGTTTTTCTTTGTCCCACATTAAGACATCAGAACATTATTTTATTTGGAAGCTTGGTTTTAGCTAAAGGTCTAGACTCTAAATTCCTGATATAATTGGGATTGGTCATCTAATTAATTAGAAATGAAATTAATCTCTGTTCTATATCAGCTTCTTCCATACCGGGCATTTTTTTATCCCAAGAGCAGATTTAAAGACAATTCCTGTTTTAGACAATCATCCTGTGAAATAGTTCTAAAGATTTGTAGCAATACAAACGCCAGGCATCATACCAATATACCGTATTCATGATTTACTTAAAAAACGAATTTTCTCCTCTGACAACTGTATTCCTTAAACTTTGTTTTTGATCTGTTTTGAAATATTATTCTGATCTTTAATGAAGATTTAGAAAAAAAAAATCTTAAAATAAAACTAAATTTTTAAAGTAAAAAACTTTGAAAACGTGCATTATATTTTAATAAACTAACCAAATGTATTTGATTACCAAATGTAATTTCAATTAAAGCAACAATTTAAAACTTTAAAAGTCAATTTTATTAGTGAAAATCATAAATATTAAAAAGTGCAAAAGAGGTTTCACATAAAAACCAGGGGATGACACATAAAATAAAAACACGAAGATCACCAGAAAGAGCAGAATAAATTCAACATCATCCCAACCCACTATTGAAGTTCATGTGTGGTAAGGGGTTGTCCAGGTTCCTTGCTGGTGCTTAGATTTATTTCTGGTCCTTCGACTCAGCAGAGGTTTAGAACAGTTTGGGCAGCTCCCTCAGGCGGCTCAGGTCCAGGATATTCCCCACTGATCCTTCTGGCTGTTGGCTTCTCATTCGGTCTATCGGAGCCCTCCTGCCAGAACAGTTCTCCTTGTCCTCTGAGTCCGGTTTGGTGGTTCCAGCTAAAAGCTGCATTTTTGGCCGCAGGTCCCGGATCAGCTGACTCTGTGGGAGGAGCTTCACGTTCAGAGCTTCGGTCAGCGGCTGACGGACTTCTGAAATTATGGCCTTCTCCTTCTCTTCCTCCTCCTCCTCACCATCCTCCTCGATCAGGCCATACCTCCTCATGTACCTCCTGGTGGCTAAAGACATGTTACTTGGCGACAGAAGTGATTCACTGGAGGAGGAAGGGACAGGGATGGTTTGTGGGGCGTGGCCTCCCAGAGACAGCCGGCTGAGCTGTGATTGGCTGAGGTAACGAAGTGCGATGGCGTTGGCCTCCAGACTCAGATCCACGCTCCCTCCGGGGAACAGAGCGCTGACGGTCGGCTCAGAAACACTCAGCCTGGAGACGACCGCTGCTGGGTTGATAGTGGCCAAGGTGCTGAAAGGAAACATTACAGAGATCAGAAAGTGTTAAAGATCTGATCCAACCAAACTCTGCCTGACTGCACTCAGTACCTGGCCATCTCCACAGCTTTGATTTCATTTTCATCTGACTCCTTCAGATCCTCCGCCTCCACTCCGAGCTGCTGCAGCCGCCGCAGGGTGGCCCGGATCACATCATCTCCTTCAGGACTCTTCCTTTGCTCCTTCTTCTGATCCTGCCTCCTCTGGGATGAGGACCGCTGGGAAGACTGCGAGAGCTCCGACACAGATAAACTCCATCTTCTGTCTTCCTTGGCTTCCTGTTGGCCATCTGCATCCTGAAGACGGCTGCTGAGTTGAGTCTGATGACATTGGAAAAAAAAATCAAAACAAAAAATTTTTTCTGAGAAGAAACCGACCGAACATCGCTGCATAAGCTCCAATACCTCCTCCATAACTGTTAAAACTAAGTTAAAGATCAACATTTAAAGTACATGAAAAAACAAACAATTCTTCCTCTGAGTCCTAACAGCTGGTTAATTTCATACCTAGCAGGGCAACAATATCTCAGATAACTGGGGTAGATCTAAGAAAAGCGTCTCTGACCATCATGTTTCTTTCTGTTCTGATCAAATTAGAAGAAAAAAAGACAGCCCACTGATCTTTGTATCTAATTACAGCCCTAAATCCCTGTTTGCATCTAATTACAGATCATATGCTGGGAGTTACCATCAGGTTCTTGTAGAAGCTCTGCTGCTCTTCTGGAGGTCTGTACATGCTGACACTTTCTCCCAGAACCGGGCTCTGCAGACCGCTGACACTGAACAGAACAAACCCAAACAGAACACTGAACTGAATCTCAACAAGGAATACAAGATATCCTGTTAATAAATCAGAAAACTTTTTCACCTACAGGAATGTAGGTGAAAAATCATATAAACCATGTTAGAGGAAATATTGTCCAGGACCCTCTTTTTGGAGAGGTCTGCATGATAGAAGGTTGAAGGGGAGGCATCCAGGAAGCATCTTAACAGACAGCTGGCAGCTCCTCTCCCTGAAGGCTTAGCCCAGCAGCTCGGTGGGTCATCATATGATCAGTGAGGTCATCCAGCTTAGGTAGAGTCTCACCTGTGAGGATCAGATGAGGAGCAGGACGTTCGCCGCTGGATGTGTTCTCCTTCCTCAGGTTTGTTCATAGACGGGTCATGTGAGGAGGTGGAGGTGCTGCAGGAGGATGAAGGGGGAGATCTGGAGGAGGGTTTGGGCTTCAGGAAGGGTGGCTGAGGTTCCGGTTCTTCCTGAAGAAGCGGCTGATCAGGAGCTTGTCCCCAGAACAGACTGGCACCTGAAACAGCAGAGGTTTAGAGGAGGAAACCTGTGGAGGGTTAGACTCCCTGAGCTGCAGATCTTACCTGTTTCCACAGCGACGCTAGCGGTGCTCTTTGACGTCTGAGTCTCAACCTGCCGGGCAGAAGGCTGGAGCCTTCCTTGAGCCTCCAGCAGCATCTGGACCTGCAGTCAACCACAACACGCTTTGATTAAGAAGGTCCAGTGCACCAAGTTCTAGCTGATCTAGTTGCATAATCGTTGAATATTAGAAAAAGAACCACTTGGATGATCTATGAAATGTTTTCAAAAAAAAAAAAATGTAGGAAAACAAGAATTTAAAAGACAGCAGGAACACCCTGCAGTTGCTACCTGAGCCTGCAGGAGGCGCAGCTGCTGGTCCTGATGCAGTAGGAGCTGGTAGGGGTCGGTGGTTAAGAGTCCACCCATTTTCTCACAGCAGGGATTCCCACATTGAGGACGCATGGGCCAGGGAGAGACAAGGTCTGTTGCTGGAGAGGAGGGGTGAGGGGACGAGGAGTCTCCATGGCACGGAGGAGCAGGAGGAGTGTGGCTGCAGGAATAAGTGGGCTGGTAGACGGGAGGAGGAGGGCTGTGACGTTTAGAGACAAGAGGAGGGTAGTTATGGGGATCAGATGGGGGCGGCTGAAGAACAGTTTGAGGAGAAGAACAAGAAGGAAGAGAAGGAGTAGAAGGAGGAAACACACACTGATGAAATTGTGGGAGAGCAGGAGAAGCCTGAGGGCTATAGGGAGGAACAGGAGCCTCATGGGGGCTGGAAGAAGCTGGAGTTTGGTGGTGGGAAGAGGAAGAAATGGAGTGAAGACCTGAAGGAGGAGGACTCTTTTTAAAGGTGCAATGAGGAGGAGCAGCGGTGTGACGGCTGGAGAGAGGAGGAGTCCGTTTATGAGAGGAATGAGGAGGAGGAGCAGCTTTATGGTTAGAAAGAGGAGTTTGCTGATGACGGGAGACGGAGGGTATAGGAGTGGACGGCAGCTTGGTGGAAGGATGAGTAGGAGCAGAGTGACGGCTAAAAGGAGGAGGGGTTTGCTGATAAGAGGAGACAGGAAGTGTTGATGGTTGTGTTGCATAGTTCTGTGAGGAAAGAGGCACTGATTTCTGAAGGGAATGCGAAGGAGGAGGTGCAGATTGGGGGCTGAAGTGGGTTTGCTGATGGAAGTGGGGAGCAGCAGCGGTGGGGAGCGCTGGGGAGGGGAAAATGGAGGTGCAGTTGTTGGTGGAGCAGCAGGAGCAGGGCTGCTGCAGGTTGGAATTCGGGGTGCTGTGGAGATTAGGAGGAGGGGGAACAGGAGCAGGTTTGGGGGCAGAGGAAGTGGTGGAACTGGAGCTGGGGGGTGAAGCTGACTTCCAGTTGGCTGGAGGAGGCCTGTGGGCGGAGCCAGAATCTGTCCCAACGTTATGATTGGAGGAGAAGCTGCTTTCAATCAGCAGGGAGAGTTCAGGAACAGACGGCTGAACTCTGCGAACCTGAAACAAACAAATAAACATCTGTAAGGCTTCAGCTGAAAAAGGCGGGGCCTAAATCTGACCTCACCTGCCATGAATGACATGGGCTACGTTTACAGCGCAGCCTGAAGTGACCCAAATCCGATTTTTTTGCTCATATGCGACCTGGATCTGATCTTTTCATGACAGTCTGAACAACACACTCCGATTTTTTCCAATGTTACCGAGGCCGCTTAGCTATGTGGTCCTGAATCCGATACGAATCTGATCTTTTTATATCCGACCTGTTTCTGAACAGCCATGTCGCATCCATCCGACCTGAATGTCATTAATAACTGACAGTGGTCACTCTTCTGCTTCTCGCTATGCAAGAAAAACAACAACAATGTGGCTGATAATGCAGAGAGTAGTATTTATGTTTAACCATCTTGGAAAGATTGAGTTTTTAAGGTTGGGAAAGATTGCTAGATGTTCTCCAGCACTACCATCCATGTTTACTTCCGTAAACACAGAGCATGCTTCCGTGTAACGTCATTGCATCCTCTACTGCGCATGCAGGACACTTAGGTTGTATGACTGCAGTTCATGCAGGAGATCACATACAAGTCGCATATATTTGGAAATGTGAACAGCCATGCAAAAAAATCTGATTTAGAAAAAAAAAAATTGTAATTGAGCATTAAGGCCTGCAGTGTGAACGTAGCCTAAGACAAGAAATCAGAAGTGCCCTAATTCATTGATGTTTAGGTCAGTCTTAATACCTCAAAGCCTGTTTTAAAACCTGAAAAACAGGATTGTTCAGCAGAACTTGGTTTATTGTCATAATCTTAAGCTCTTCGTCTGATATTTCAATGCAGTAATAACGTCTCTTATTTTTTTCCACAGATTTTTGATCGGCTCATTGTGTTTTTCCAGAAAGCAAACAGGAAACAGGCTGAAAGACAAACAGGGACAGGAGCCAGACAGGCGATGGAGCTGATCTCTGACCTGTGGAGCTGGAGGATGAGGACTTGGAGACGGTCTGGGAGAAAAGTCTTCATCCTCGACTCCAGAGTCCTGATCGCTAACAGACAGACCTGCAGCTGGAGGCGGCGTTCTGAGGACAGAATCACACATCAACGTCACTCAACGTTCATCTTTATTCAATTATTTACGCATGAACATCCAGACCTGTTGAATGAGCTCTGAGCTGCTCTGAAGATTTCCGCCTGTCTGCTGTGGTCTTCTGAATCCAACTCGCACCGCAGAGCTCTACCATCCACCGGCGCCACCTGCTGACAAAGCTGCATTTTTACAAAGCCCTCTTCATCCCCAACACACAAACCTAATACAAGCTATACCTGGTAAAGAGTGACAGACTGGGAAGAAGTCAGCAGCTGGAAGTCCAGCTGGGGCCCTGATCCACGCTGAGACACTCGACACTGGAAGAACTGAGGAGCTCTGTGGGTGGAGCCAAACACGACGAGGAGGAATGAGCCCATCTCAGACAGAACCCTGAAACCCAGCAGAGACAGGAACATTAAAAAGAAAAAACTTAAAACCCTAGAACAGTTTGATGGTACTAATTTCAACCAGTATCTCACCTGTCCTGCAGGGCGGAGCCAAACATGAACCTCAGACTCCAGGCCCACACCTGAGGGCTGTAGACGTGTGTGACTCCACTGAGCCAACTAGGACAAGAAAAACCTAATCATTAAAATTATGGACGTGTGCTTATTTTATAAACACCACACATAAAAATATTTCTGAACCTACAGGCCAACAAGTGGCAAGCTGGAGGCTTTAGGGTCCGACTCCAGCAGGAGAACCAGTTTCCTGGTCTGATCCATAGTCAGAAACCTGAAAGGAAGAAAAACAATCAATTCAGTTCAGCTTATATATATAACACCAATTCATAACACATGTCATCTCAAGGCACTTTACAGTTCACCAGATCATACAGTCAAATTGATTAAAAGTTTTCTATCAAAGGAAAACCAGTTTATTGCATCGACTCATTGACTTGAAGGCAATCCCTCACACTAAGCATGCTTGTAGCGACAGTGGAGAGGAAAAACTCCCTTTTAACAGGAAGAAACCTCCCAGCAGGCTCAGTGTGAGCGGCCATCTGCTGAGGCCGACTGGGGTTCAAGGAGACAGAAGTAGAGATACAAAAAGCAGCTGTAAACGGCGGCCCCGTCCAGGAAACACACAGCCAGGCAGACGAGCTCTGAGCCAACTCCCATGTCAGAGGATGAAGAGAGCACATCCAGCTAGTCACAGTCAGAGAAACAGGACTACACTATAAAACAGGCCGATCTCCAACATCTATAAACAAAGGTGTTAATGGCAGCAGCTCAGCTGATATTTTTCTCCAGGAACAGTTCAATCTCTACCATTATACTCTCGCTGCTTTTTCTCATAGTAGCTTTTATCTGGTCTGTTCCTGACAGATTATGCAGAGTGTGAGAATAGATAGAATGAAGCAAAATGATGAGATGGGGGTCCCTATGTCCTCCAAAAGTCTAAGCCTATAGCAGCATAACTATATAGATAGCTCAAGATAACCTGAGCCACTCTAACTATAAGCTTTATCAAAAAGAAAAGTTTTACGCCTACCCTTAAAAGTAGACAGGATGTCTGCCTCACAGACTAAAACTGATGGTTGGTTCCACAGGAGAGGAGCCTGATAACTAAAAGATCTGCCTCCCATTCTACCTCTTAGAAATTCTAAGAACCACTAGTAAACCTGCAGATTGAGAGCTCTGTTAGGAACATAAGGAACAACATATCTCTGATATAAGATGGAGTTTGGCCATTTAAGGCTTTATATGTGAGAATGTTTGGGACTATTCACATTGCTGATGAAGGTTCTCAGTCATCCAGGTCAAAGTCATTCCGTAAAAATTCAAAAAATATCCACTGGATTTGGTTTTCAAGATTTGAAGACGTTTCGCCACCTCTCCAGGAAGCTTTCTCAATTCAAATGTCTGGATCCGCTGGAGTTTTACTCAAACTGAATGTCTGGAGTTTTACTCAAACTCACTGCGGATCCAGACATTTGAATTGAGAAAGCTTCCTGGAGAGGTGGCGAAACGTCTTCAAATCTTGAAAACCAAATCCAGTGGATATTTTTTGAATTTTTACGGAATGACTATTCACATTTTGAACAAAGGCAATACCGTCTAAGATAGCTTTAAGGCTGAACTTAAGCGATCACCTTATATGTCAGCATGGAAGTTACCGTAAAATCCCCCTATGATGACCCTGTCAGTATTTAATACCAAATCAGAAAGGAACTCTGAAAACTCATCTAAAAATTAAGAGAAAGGACCTGGTGGGACGATACAAAGTTACAAAAAGAAGAGGTTTTCTAGCTTTGCGATTTATATGAGGGAAACTAAGAGTTAAATGTTCAAAATAGTTGTAATTGTTAATTGCCTTTGGAGTAATCAATAAGTCAGACTGAAAGATTATTGTTGCCATTCCTCCTCCTTACACAGAATTTCTGGGTATGTGAAAATTTAAATAGCTTGAAGGAGTTGGCTTATTTATGCTCACATAATCCTCTTGCTGCAGCCAGGTTTCTGTAAGGCAACATAAATCACTGTGATTATCACAAATCAAGTCATTAAGTAGCAGACTTTTAGAGGAAAGAGATCTTATGTTAAATAAAGCATATTTAATCATTTTAACTTGTTCCCCAACTGGAATCATTTTAATTATATTATAATTTACTCCTTTGGGAATCTTTTCTAATTTAGTAGATTTTGGTTGTGGGCAAGACACTGTCTAGATGTAGTAATGAGTGGGTTACAGTAGAGAAGCTGCAGAGACGTCTGTTAAACCATGACGAGGACTAAACAATTTAGCCAGATTCCTAGAAAGAAGAGCTGCACCATCCAAAGTGGGATGGATGCCGTCTCTTTAAATCAGACCAGGCTTTCCCTAGAAGGATTGCCAATTATTAATGTAGCCCACATTGTTTTCAGGACACCACCTAAACAACCAGCGGTTGAATGACAACATGCGGCTAAACATATCACTGGTCAGATCAGGGAGGGGGCCAGAGAAAATTACAGACTCCGACATTGTTTTGGCAAACTTACACACAGAAGCAACACTAGATTAAGAGACCTCCAATCGGCGTAACCAGGTGTCATTACCGCCAGCCTGAATGACAATCTTACTGTATTTAAACATATCCTTCGCCAGCAGTTTTAGGTAGGATTTGATGTCGCCCGTTCTGGCCCCCGGCAAACATTTGACTATGGTCCCTGGTGTCTGTAATGCCACGTTTCTGACTATGGAGCTGATAATTACAAGAGTGGGCTTCTCAGTGAGTGCGTCACTGAGCGGGGAAAATTAGTTAGAAACGTGAACGGGTTGGTGGTGACCAATGGGCAGAGATCCACGACTACGCTTTCTGCGTTCCGTCATCCAATCGCCTGGCTGCTCAGGCACTTTTGGAGGACAGCTACATGGGGGGCCTACTTTAACCTCCTGAATGTTCAACAGCCTGAAGCCTGGATTCTAACTCTGACACCCTCGCCTCCAAAGCTACAAAACTACTACACTTATTACACATCCCATTATCACTAAAGGAGGCAGAGGAAGAACTGAACATCTAACACAGACAGCAGGAGAGAGGAAAGGAAGAAGTATGAGTTGGAAAAGAGTCAAGGGAAGGAGAGAGAGAAGCCATAGCAATGCTAAGCTTGCGCTAGCCTAGCTACTCCTTACTACCGGAAATGAAACCATGTGAAAGCGACAAGTGCTCAGTAGAAAAGTGAAGCAGAAGGCGCTATGTTTTGAAGTGGTACTGGACAGTTAGAGTTACTTAGATACAGAGATATCACAGAAAAAAAGAAATTAATTTAGATGGAGATAGCCTGAACAGCATGCTGCTCAGCAGTCAAAACAGGAAGTGAACACGATATGTCTCACCAATAACTGCAGTAGCACCCTCTAGTGTATCCTAGATCAGTGCAAAGTGACCAGGATCTATCTAAAGCATAAAGTAAACAGTCTCTTACCCCCTCTGTCGGCCAGCAGGCTGCGCCGGGCGGCCGATGCTTGTCAGCGACCTTAGCAGGGCGGTAGGGATGATGGGGACGGCTCGGACTGGCTGAACGTCTAACCCAACGGCGGGACAGACGGACGACCAGCTGAGGTTAAATGTTGCAGCATCAGACGTCTGGGAGTAAATCACATGAGCTCTGATCTTCAACAGCTGAGACAGATCCAGAGTCTGTCTGCTGCTGACCGCCTGCTGCAGTGCCTGAACCACCAAAAATATTTGATTCACATTTATCATCTGGCCAAAGCTTGAAGTAAGAAAAAAACAAACAAAAAAAATAAAAAATAAAAAGCAAAAATGAACCTTAAAGCAGTGATGGAGCTCAGCCTCTGACAGGACGACAGCATCAGGCGAAGTCTCAGACTGAGCAGAGAACAGGCAGGGAACCAGGACATCTCCGGGAAGAAGAGCGGACGGCACCCGGTCTGTGGCTCCTGCTTGATCCCGACCTGGATCGAAGCGGTCCAAGGTCACAGTGACCCCTTCCTCATCTGGAGGACACACAACAGGATTTAGAGCATTAAGAAGACAGGTGAATTCTTCCACATTGAGTCAGAATCAGACCTTCATTCACAGCGACGGATCCCAGGAAGAAACACTGAAGGCCGAGCTTGTGACTGCGACGGGCGTGGCGCTGCGCTAGCCGAAGAGCTTTCTCCAGGAGAACTATTTGAGGTTTCCTGCAAAGGAAGATGAATTTATTAAAAACCTAACCTAGAAACTTTAAATGAAGAGAAAAAGAAGTGTATTTATTATTTTTCCCATTTAAGTTGAAGCCAGCAGGAACAAAAATAAATAAATAAATCCTGGTGGAAAATCCAGGTCCAAAAAGTAAAAAGCACGTACAGAGAATAGTTCCAACCATTTGCATTTTCAGCTCCAAAACATGGACTGGACTAATCACCAGGTTAACTGAACAAGAGGAAAGACCAGGCTTTCTGAACATGACACTCAGATCATTGGTTACTAAAAACAAGTTAGCAGCCTTTTATTTTATTCCTCAACTGTTCAGGTAAACATCCAATTTAATCAAAGCCACCGTAGATTCAGCAGATGTACAGGAACAGAACCATGTCTTTGATGTTTACCTGTGGGAATAGAGCTGGAGGCGGAGCATCTCTCCAACAGGGCTGCCATCCCACAGAGCTAAGCGGGATTTAGGGAAAGTCAGCTGATTTAGGGAGCTTACGAACCTTCTGCAGAAAGGAAGGAAAGAAAACAATGAGAAGCTTGTTGGAAACAGGAAGCAGTGTTTACCTCAACCCGAGACAACAGATGAACGTGGACAGGCTCTCTCCTGGTTTTGTTTCAGCTGGCGTTTCATTTAGTTCAGTTTCAGCCAAACTAAAATACAGCATTCATGTATACAGATGAAGATGTAAAAACTCCAAGATAAGCCGGTAACAAGTCTAAATTAGAGAAAAAAGACTTCATGCATCATCAGCTGTGTTGCGATGAGCAAAATTACAAGACTGGATTTAAATAAATAAAAAAATTTGAATATTTCTCACATGAGATTAAAATCTTAGAATCACATCATGATGCTGGTTTACTTGCACCAGGCTTTATTCAAAGTAGAAGTACTCTGAGATGTGCAGAGTGGTCAGATTTCCTGAACGCTGCCATAAACAAACAAAAAAATAGTCCTTATTATGGTCCTTACTGTTCTGAGAACCAGAATGGACCCACAGCAGGTTCTGAGAGCAGCTTTCTAAAGGCTCAGAAAATAATTCTGCTGTTTCTTCCAGAAAAGACGAGATAACTAACATTCCTTAAAACTCTGAGCAAATTAAAGTTCAGCATAAACTACACCTCTCAATCAGAACATGATGCTATATGGATTGAGGTGAACATGTTTACAACATTTCAATGGTCATGTCCACATGACTGATTGACCATTTATTCTGGATACTAAGGTCCATGTACACATGACTGTTGATTTATTATTTCTGAGAGAATGGAACAGCTCTAAATTGTGATTTCAGTCTATTTTTTTTTAGTTTCCATAATCAGTGGAGCTTCTTAAATGGTCTCATCTCCTAAAAAACACCACAAACCTTGGATCACTCAAAGGTTTGAAGGGACCCTTGTCTAGAACTTGACTTAAACTTCTCATATCACATATTCATTCTCCTGTCACTGACAACTGCAAAAGCAATCTAACTTAATTGGTTTAATTAAGGCTTTAAGAAAAGGGATTTTAAACTAATCATCAGATTATGTCCTCTTGTTCCTCATTTAAGGGATCATGAGAAATAATTTTGCTGTTTAACTTCTGCCTTTGTTTTCCTCTGTTCAGCAGTCACTGACGCTGTTTCTCTCTTTTTTTTTTTTACCCCAGTTCATTACTAGGCTGTGGTGGCAAACAATCAGATTAAATGTGACTGAATTATTATTGATATAATCACCTGTTTATTTTGTATTAAAATAATATTTAGTTGAACTAAACAGTTTAAACCAAATGATTACTCAAAGCGCTCATTATGTGTACGTTTTAAATTTAAGATTAAAAACCTTCGTCAACTAAATTAGTCATCGGTTACATTAAACTCTGACTAACAGCTGAACACAACAAACCCACCTTCCTCTCATGTTTTCTGGAGTAAAAACCTCCTGTATGACTTCCCCGGGCAGGGCCTGGAGGTTCACCGGGTAGCTCATACTCGCTGGGCCCCAGAAAAGTGAAGCTATGAGCCCCAGATGAGAGACTGACACCGAAGTCCCCGCAGCTAACACGGGCTGCTAACCTTCTGCTCCAAAAACATCGGCTTCGTTTTAGCTCCACTATCCGGTCGAAGCTCCTCTCTGTTTAATTATTACTGGACGTGTAAGTCAATTTCTCCGGAAGCCGAACTCATCCCTGTTTAGTGGAACGTATTCCAAAAGACAAAACAATCGACCAAAGTTAGGCGTCGTTTAATTATGGCGCTGATTCTGGATTTTACTGGCGGGGTAGCGGAACTAACCTATAGGAAGTGTTCTCATATTCAGTCTGACCAATCACAGTTCTAGTTTGACTGGCGTCAGCAGTTGTTAGCGCTACTCAGAAAACTGTTACTCGATACTTCCCCCTACAGGTTAACGAAAATATTTTTTCTTCTGCCGAATCCCTGTTGGCATGACAACGTGTTGCAGCCACGGATTTTGATCTTGATACAGATACAGAGCAGTAATCTTTTACAAACCAATGTCCATAAATAGATATATAAATGTAAATAAAAACAAATGTTCGAACTGTGACCTTTAATCTCTTAGCACATATGGGTAGAATTAAATATGAGATTTTTCATCATTATTACTGTGAAGCTAATGTGACTGTTTTTATTATACTTAATAAATTCACCTTATTAAAGACACGCATGGGTAAATGGCAAAATGATTTGAAGTAAATCCTATGTTTGCAAACTTTTTATTTAATTAGTTTTATTTTTTTTATGGTTTTGTCTTTTTTGTCTCATAAAAATGACATATTAGATGCTTATGCAAATATATGCCTATTTATTGTGTCTGAATTATTGAAGTAATTGTGATATTTAAAGACAGTGCTATTGCTTTCATTCTACTTTTATTCTACTGCACTTAACTGGCTCTACACCCTCTGCAGGGTGCTCAAGGATACATTAGCTTTTGCCCAAAACATCCACATGCACTTTAGAATGGAGTTAGGGACCTTTACTGTGAACGCTCCGGTCTGTAGAAGAGGAGCAGGTTTCTGGTTTCCATTGTTGGTATTAAGTCAAAGCTGTTTATGGTGCCTGTTGGCCTCCCGCGGAGCTACCATCTGATAACTTTTGTGGACAGAATTTCTAGGTCAGTCAAGGGCCAGTGGATTTCATCTCTGTGTTTTGCCGTTGACATGCGTCTGCTGGCTCCCTCCAGCCAAGAACCACAGCATCTGCTGGGGTTTACAAGCAAGTGTAAATTGGGGGAGTGGCGGCCTAGTGATTAGGGCATAGAGCTTGGAATCCTGAGGTTGTGAGTTCAAAACCTTCTGGCTCTCTGAGCAAGACCCTTAACACCTGATTGCTCCACTGGCACCTCACGGTGGAAGCCCATTGCTCCCCAAGGAGATGGGTTAAATGTAGAGATAAATTTCTCCAATATAAAAAAATAATTATTGAACTTTATTTATCTTACATTGTAAAAATTTAGTGAGATAAATCAAGTTACATTATTTTTATTATAAAGCAATAGGAATTAAGATCAGCTCCTTCAAATTTTCTATGTGAAATGTGATTCTCCAGATAGGAGATAGTGCCTCAAATGGGGGAGTTTTAGAATCTTGTGGTTTTGCTTATGAGAGGGGGGAGAATGGATCAGGTGATGAAGACACAGATTATTGCAGCATTTGCAATATCTGCATTAATATTACAGTCAATTTTCACCTCATTGGGTTAATTATGAACTTTTTTTTTAATACAATGATTACTTTACTGTTTTTCATCAAATATTTTTATCACTGCTGCATACCTTATCAAGTCTTCACTTTAAAAAAATGAAACTGTCTAGAGAGCTGTACTTAAAATGTCTTTTTGTTTACACTTGTGTGTACAAAACGACAAAATAAACTCTTTCTAAGTCCACTTTAAATATGCTGCTTCTGATCAATATTACTGTCTTTAAAAAAATTTAAAATATTTCTAATGTGACCTTTTTATTCAGAATAGTAATGTTGACTTTTCTAAATATAACCTAATCCATGATTGCATTTTCTGAATTTGAAACAGCTATAAGCAATGAATAAAACTTTTTTATTTAATGGATTTCCATAGGTACAGGTGCTGTGCCTTAAAAACTGGACTTTGTGTTTGCACCCTCTGAATTATTTGTGTACTGCTGGATCATTTACTGTCACATGGAGCCATTTCCTGAAAAGCGACAGAGACTAATTATTTATTAGCGTGTTACATGACTCTAGGCCAGCAGAGAGAGAGAAAACCAGCTACTCAGTGCTATTGTAATGCTTTTGAAAGGATCATATTGTATCTGGTCGTTATTTTTATTTTTTTTTTATGTGGTCTTTTCTTTGCACATTGATATCAAGAACAGAATGACTTAAAGTGCTGATATTAAAGTTTAGAGGAGCATTTTCAGTCTTTTCTTTCCGTTTCAGTTCCTTAAACACGACTTTCTGACTGCTTTGTGTATACTAACAGGAAGCTCAAAAACATGAACCGAGGATCTGTTTCAGATATTACTTCTTCTGTAACAGAGCTTTAATCTACTATTTTGTCCTGCAGTATAATGTTAGGGAGATCTTCCCCAAGCACCTGTGATTTTTTTTTACTGTTATTAACTTCTTAAAATATTACCCTTAATTAATGTAAAATGTAATTGTTTCAATATTTCTGAGTTGTTTTCAATTTGATTCTTTGTCACATGTTTGTGATTTACTGTCAGAAGCCAAAAAGATTATATATAAAAAAAATTATGCCTTTCCCATCACCAGAATCTGCCTCTTGTTACCCTAGCTAATTTTTATATGTTTGTAATCAGGGTCATAAGAGTCTGGTATGATTTTAAAATTCTTTTTTATTTGAAGTTCACCCACATTTTTTGTTTAGATGACAAGCATAAAAACATTAAACTAGTCATTTGAGTTTTATATTGAACCTTATGTCCCTTTAAAATGAAAGCATCTCCACATTTTTTCAGTCTTCCTTCATCCGATCTAACAAATGTAAACTTTTCTACATGTAATAGCCTTTTCAACTCAAATCTATTGCTTTCTGGCTTCTAAATTTAGTTTAAAGCTGGTATTGTGAATGCATCTCACATACACTGATTTTAAACTGTTGATGTAAAAACGTAGAATTCTAGCTTTATATCTTTTTAGATATTTCTACCTTTCTAGGAACACTTTATTTATGTGTAATCAGATAGAAAACAGGCAAAGAGAGAAAGAAGGGAATACACAAAATGCCTTAAAACTTGATTGATTGATTGATTGACTTTAGTTATCTCAGTGGAGAAATGTACTTGTTACATCAGCTCAAATAGTCAAAGGAGAAGAAGGAGTTTACATGGGTGTTTATTAGTGTTGCACCGATACCAGTATCAGACGGGCCCCGATACTGCACTGAAATGGTGATATCGCTATCGGCAAGTATCAACAACTAGGGCACCGATACCATTTTGAGAGCCAAAAGTTTATTCAACTATTGTCACCCATTCCAGGTAGGCAATAAAAAGTTCTACTGGATTCACTTTGTATTAGTCTTTTTCCTGCTTGACAAAGGTAGGAAGCAGCTTGACAAAGCCATGATGGCAATTATTTTACATCCAAGTAGTATGAAGTTCTTCATATATATACACACACGCATCAATTTCAAACAGATGGAATCGGTATGGTATCAGCCAATGCTGCACAGCCAAGTATCGGTATCAGGGCCAAAAATTGGCATCGGCGCAACCCTAGTATTTACTTAGATGGATATTTATATATATATAGTTATTGTACTGGGTGTTAAACATAGAGAAACACGTTATTGCACAGGATAAAAAAATTGTAATTGCACGTTATACATTGCACAAGTTATTGCCTTGTAGAGTCGCATTGTTGAGTCTGATGGCAGCAGGAATGAATGACCTGCTGTAGCGCTCTTTTTGTCAAAAAATACAATGCAAACAGTCCGTAAGATTTTCTGTATTTAATCTGACACTCGGGAAAAAAAATAGACTTTCATGTATGAATGTTAGAGATTTAATTTTTTTTAAACCGTAACTAGGATTGTAAAGAGAATGTTTGTTGTAAATTTCAGTACAAACCTCAAAGCTATGGATGAAATCTAACAAAAACAAATGTAACCATGGCTTTTTGTATCATAATTGCAATATTGTAACTCTTTCATATTCGCAATTAAACCTTATCTCATAATTGAAAAAAAGAGAAAACACTCAGAATAGCTATTTTGAAACTTGATTTTGTTATCTCATTATAAATGTTTTCCCTTTGATACTTTTCAAACCCATTTTAATTCTGCTAAGGGGCGTCCATGGTTTAAAAATTGTGGGTTTGCGTTTGTTTTTCGGGACAACGCCCACTGGTCTAGCTGGGTAAATTGACTTTTCCAGTTTAGAGGGGTACATCTTTTGCATAGACAATCTTTGATGTTTTGGACATATCTTCTTTGTTGTTGCGCCTCAGCCAATCATAGCTTGTCTCTTAAAAGCAACGCCCACATAATTAATAATCCTGTCCAATCACAGGTCCGCCTCCTGCCATTTTGTCGGTCGATACTTGTTTCTGGATGGGGGAATCCTGTTGGCCGCTGGCTGGAACCTGTTGCTTCGTAGTTCCGTGTTGTGCAATGGACGGGTGAGTTATCACATCGACTTCACTACTCCTGCATATGTAGTTTTCTGTGTCTTTTACTTCAGTTTGTGACCAAATATACAAACATCTTAAAATATTTTGTAGTTTTCCAATCAGCATCGGGCACTTGATTAATGAAGACAAGCTGTCGTTGAAGTTTGTGCTTGTCTAAAAACAGGAAACGAAGCTATGTTAGCCGCTTTGCTAGCCTCACAACGGGCCATTATCTGTGGGAAGAAGTCTCTTAACAGGACCTGGTCGTAAAATGTCATTTTATTTCCGTGGAGAAACGAGCTTCACAGTCCCTTCAACCGTCCGGTTTAATGTCTGATAAATAATCAATTGGATGGAAGAGTCTGTAACTTCTAGCTCATCTCTACGGTAACGGTGTGTCTCACGCCCACTGCTGCTGTTATGTCACTTTGAGGAAGTGAAAAATCAAATAAAAAGCAACTTACTCGAGTTATGTCAAAGCCGAATCAGAGAGATATGTCTAGTATTTATTATTCCAGCGAAACGTTTAATGTAAGTTACTTTTTTTGCTTTCAAAAACGAATAAGCAGCTTAACTATTGCGAATTAAACATGAAGTTTTGTGAAGAGGCTCATTTTGTAAACG